GAGTTTGCGTTTCACACCCAGCGACGCTACAACAACAACAACAATCGGCAGCAACAACAATTGAAGCCAGTACCTCCGTTTTGCCACATCTGCAAGACTTCAGGGCATCCTCGTACGCACTGCCCGTATCGTCAGCAATCGACAACACCACAGTGACAACTCCGGCCTTCAAGCTCCCAAGTCACTTCAACGCAAGCAAACCCGACAACTTCAGTCCAAGCTTCAACGACTCCAACAGGACAACCTGCACAAGGAGGAAGAAACATCGTCAACTGCATGGTGAAGATAGCAGATTCCTGCACAAACGAGTCACCACCATACTACTCACCAGAAGAACAACACGACAACAGCACGCCTCGCCGCGAGTCACTTCAACCGAACCCGACATACGCTGCCATCGCTCAAAGCGAACCGTCCGAGAAAGACACATGGTTCTTGGACAGTTGCTGCGGACAGCACATGTGCTCTTCGGGACGCTTCGTCCAACGCGAACACCGACTTCAACGAGAGGTCGTCATCACGGTCGCCAACAACCAGAACCTGCGCACACGACGACAAGGAGTAGTACAACTTCAGTCACGAGAGACAAATGTTATACTGCATATGTCAAAAGTACTAATCGCGGAGGGACTCGGCTACAACTTACTGAGCGTCAGCCAGTTGATGGCGAAAGGCATTCACTTGGAAGCCGACAGTACCACCTAGGAGTTCAAATTATACCACGGGAAGGGCGGCCTCTACATCGCGAAGGCGGTCTTGAAGAATAACGTCTTCGTCCTAGACTTCGTTCCAGACCTGGGCACTGCAGACAGCGACGCCATCGTGAACTTCGCCGATTGGACACATCCTCCAGATCTTGATCCAGACTTCAGCTCGAAAGGCTTCTGGTACTCGCATACCATCCCTGAAGCAGAAAGAACACGCGCGTTAGCAACAAATCAACATTCGGCAGCAGCAGAAACATCATCGGCAGCAGCAGAGACAACATCGGCAGCAGCAGAAACAACATCGGCAGCAGCAGAAACTTCATCGGCAGCAGCAGAGACAACATCGGCAGCAGCAGCAGGACCAACGACACCAGTCCTCGTCAACAAAGCACCACCAACACCCGCACAGCAGTTGAAACCAACTGAACGAGAAGTCCACAGAAGCGCAAACTTCGTCGCCAGCTTCTACTCCAACTCCGACGCGTATCGACGCTCACCCGGACATCGCGCCTCCGAAGACATCTGGCACGCACGCATGGGACATCCAAGCAACATCGTGTTAAATAATACAATAAGAGCAGGAGTCCTAGACAAGGATTCATTACTATTACCCGATGGCAGAGAACTTCAACGGGCACGAGGAACTTGCCTTACCTGCCCCGAAGCCGACTTACCACATCGACCGTTTACTCCTCACCACAATCCGAGCGCACCCGCGTACGCCCCACTCAAGAAGGTGTACAGTGACATTCTCTTCAATTGAGAACCAGGACAAGTTACTTACAACTATACGATAACCTTCATCGACGCCGCCACTCGATACGTCTGGCACCTAAACCTACCCAGCCGCTACATGGCACTCGCAGCGTTCGCCACCTGGCTACCAGTAGCAGAAAGAGAGTCGGGAGCACAGCTGAAAAGCTTCCAGTCAGACGGAGGAGGAGAATACACCTCTCAGCGATTCAAGCAGTACCTGGCGGAAAGAGGAATCAAGCAACTCCTCTCCCTTCCCTACGCCCATCACCAGCAAGGTGTCGCAGAAAGAATGAACAGGACTCTGCAGAACAGCATGCGCAAACTGCTACGTGGCATGCGGCTACCCAACCACCAGTGGCCTGCAGCAATGCACCGTGCTGTCATGCTGCACAACTTGATGTCGTCGTCCTCACTCCCGAACAACGCATCACCGCATCTGCTGTGGACAGGGAAACAGGGCAGTACAAAAATGTTACGAGTTTTCGGGAGCATGGTACAGTACCGACCCCTAGAGGCACGAGCGGGAAGATTTTCACAACGCGCACAGTGGGGACTACACCTCGGCATCGAAAAGAATTACAACGCGTGGAAAATCTTCGACGTCCACTCCAAGGAAACAGTAGCAGCACGTGATGTGATCTTCTACGAAAGACTCACGCTTCAGACGTACCTCGCCAACTTGCACGAGAATCATGATCCCACAGGTGGCTTTCGAGGTGACCGAGCCTTCGCCTCAGCAGCGGACGAAGCAGACTGGGACGAGCAGACCGACGACAATGCATCAGAAGAAGCCGGACCTCTCCCGTTCCGCTCCGTCAACGTCCCCATGGACGAAGAAAATCCTTGCGAAAGCGCCAACGCCGAAGTCTTCTACCACTTCGCCGACACTGATTACGTAACACGTGCGACAGTCAACACCAACGAAGCAGAACGGATAGGGCCGAATTTCATACCCGGCCCAGAAGCGGGAGATGAAGCAGCTTATCCCGAGGACACAACACTCCCCCGCTACTCACAGACTGGACTGCAGATTCTCGGCCTCGTCACCGCAGTCCACGGCCATGCTCTTCCTAAAGAGCCTGCGACGGTTCAGCAGGCTCTGGGGGGGGGAACACAGGGAGAAATGGCGTGAAGCCATGGACAGAGAGTTGAAGGCGCTGGAGGAACGTAACACCTGGAAAGTCGTTCCCGTAAGCGTGGCAAGGAACAAGACCATCCTTACCGGGAAATGGGTCTTCCGCATCAAAACGAAAGCAGACGGCACAATCGAGAAATTCAAAGCACGCTGGGTCGTGCGTGGATTCGACCAGGAGCACGGACGGGACTTCACCGAGACATTCGCCCCGGTCAGCCGACACACCTCACTCCGAATTCTCATCGCAATCGCCGCTATGAAGAAGAAGAAACCGCGGCAAATCGATCTCGCCAACGCATTCCTCTACGCACCCGTCAACGCCGAAATCTTCGTCGAGCTCCCACACAGTACCCACGGGGAACCTAACCAAGTCTGTCAGTTACTAAAATCACTCTACGGAATCAAACAAGCCCCGCGGCTGTGGCAACAGCACCTACACACTCGCCTCACTCGCATCGGATTCCGTCAACTGCCTCACGACCAAGGAATGTACCGACTCACCAAAGACGCCGACTACATTCTGCTGATCGTCTACGTCGACGATTTACTCTACATCGGTTCTACTGACGACATAACTACCTGGTTCGAAGAGGAGCTGAAGAGGGACCTCACACTCACGGTCTCCTCTACCGTCACTCAGTATCTCGGACTCAACATCCGCGAAGAAGAGAACGCGATCTACCTCAGCGCCGAAAATTATGCCGACACTATTGCCAAACGCTTCGCGCTCACACCTGCTACTATCTCCACGCCAAACCGCTACACGGCAGGGAACGACAAGGGAAGCTCCGCTTTACTCAAGACCGCCGGAATACGCGACTACCAGCGAAAGCTGGGCTGCCTCCTCTTCGCAGCCGTCACCTGCCGCCCAGATCTGTCCTACTCCGCAAGTCAACTTGCTACCTATCTCAAAAGGCCCGAAACAGAACACCTGGCGGAACTCGACCGCGCTCTTCATTATTTCGTGAGCACTTCAACGATCGGCCTGACGTACTACAAAAATACAACTACGCCGACGAAACTAATCGGCTACGTCGACGCCGATCACGCCGGCGACTCAGACAACAGGCGCTCCCGCACTGGCTACATCTACCGCCTCGAACCTATCGGACCTATATCCTGGCAATCGAGCAAGCAGGAACTAATTGCTCTCTCTTCAGCTGAAGCAGAATATATCGCACTCTGCTCAGCCACCAAGGAAGGACTCTACCTTCGCGAGCTGCTGGAAGAAGCGAAGTTAGCCGAGTTACCCAACTTCACTCTGTTCTGCGACAACCAATATGTGATTCGTATCGCCAACAAGAGCGGATTCGCGAACAGAACGAAGCATATCGCCCTGCGATATTTCTTCGTGAAGGACGAGATCGAGAAAGGGAAACTCAAACTATCCTACTGTCCCACGTCCGAGATGGCTGCTGACTACTTGACCAAGAAGCTCGGAAAACAGAAGTTCGAGTACTGCATGCTGCTGACTGGACAAAGCCACGTCACCATCAGCGACACTCCAGAAGCGAAGGGGAGTGTTGGGAACAAATAGTTTAAGCGCCTCTGTCGTGTCGAAACTCAAGACACAAGCGAAGCAGCTCAAATCGAAGCACCGCGAGTCAACCCTCGGAGGTAAACGTAACCGCTGGAGGTTACGAGAAAGTCAAAGGTCAGCGACCTTTGACCTGACGCAGCGCGACAGCAAGGACACACAACTGACTCGACATTGAGCAGTTGCCCGAGTTGCACTGTATCGAACCGCAACAGTAAAACAGTTACAATTATGTCTCTTCATATTCTCTGTACTCATATATATATTCCTGTATCTCTTTGCATTAATCATCTTACTTTGCTCTCACATACTAGCGTAAGGTGGTTCAAAGACTTTTATCAATACGCTTCCGCTATTACATCTTTTACCCAAGACTTTAACTCTACTAAAAGATCCTAGGGCGTTCAGCCCAACAGCAGGGACCACCAAGTCAGAAGCCTGTAATCACCCTGAAATCAGGGTAATTACCCTGATATCGTCAGCCCTGGCTCAGGGAGAGCACTGTATTGTGGCTGTAAATACTGTATGCTTGAACTGTATGCTCGCAAGATATTTGAGATTGTTGTATAGGTCATTGTCAAGTGAGTCCGTTGTTGCAGAAGGTTAGAAAATTTCGTGCCAACGAATAATTGTGTGATGCGTGATGGACATGTACACTCCGAAACCTGACACAAAGAACCAGCAGACAGGTAATTAAGCAGTGGAATGATGTATGGCACCCGGAAATCAGTGTGGGTGAACATGCTGTCACTCTTGGGGAGCAGAAGCAGCAGACTTCCATTCTACAGCATCGGGGCAATCACAAATCCCCATTGTCGCTTGAAGGGAGCTCCTCGTTATTGCGGAGGGCGAGGACGATGAAGGCTCAGAGGAGGCGGAGCACACTGCCTGCCAGAGAAAATGCCAAGTGCCCAGAGGGAGACGTGATAATAGTGGTCATCTTGGCCTTGCGCCTGCTGAATAGGCCCTGCAAAGAGGGAGAGCAGGTAAGGTGGGGAAGGTAGGGAACGCAGGGAAGGGAAGGAGGGAGGGGAATGTAGGGAAGGCCAGGGAGGGAAGAGAAAGCAGGGAAAGGAAGATAGGGAAGGGAAAGTAGGAAAGGGAAGGAAAAGAAAGGGAGGGAAGGCCACGAAGATGCAGGCTGATAACTGGCAGAGCGCACTGCCTGGAAATTCGTCTAGTCCAGCAGAGCCAATCCATTGTTTTTAGACCACAGTTCTCTGTTACAAGGGTGGCCAAATGAGTCTTTTGCCCACCCCAACAGGACCAGTTGGAGTTTAACAACACACTCGGGGCAATGCTGTTAACAGCCCACCATCCACCTCCCACAATCCACCACGCATTATCCACCATCCACCATGCACAATCCACCATCCACCATCCAGCGTCCACCATCCACCCCCTTACTCACCTCACCACCATGGCAGCATAGAGGGCGGGAAAGGAAGTAGGGCAGATGGACAGCTACACACAGTAATTATCCCCCCCATCTCCCGCCCCCCTTTCCTCCCACCATTTTCCTATTCCCCACCACACACGCTCCCTTATCTGCCATCTCACCGGCACTGCCTTGTCTTCACCCCACTCCCCCCCTCTTCTTACAACGCACCCACAAGAGGGCATGAAAGACAGGAAACGAGTGGCAGGGCCGTGGAAGAGGTGCAGGTGGGGAATGTGCAGGTGGGGTGACGCTTCGAGGGGATGGGGTGGGGGTGGGTGCGATGGGGGAGGAGGAAGGGAGAAGCAAAGAGAATGGGGAAAGCAAGAAGTGTTGGGCGGACCATCATGCATCGTTGCTTGAGTGTTGTCCTAGTCGTTATCTCGACCAATCCCACGACGATGGGGTCACTGCTGGAGAGCAGTCGGGCGACACCAAGGTCCATCGCAGGCCAGTTGTGTTCCGCTACGAGGGCCTCACTGCCAGGGAACAGCACGCAAAGTACGCGCACACCTAGGGCGCGTGATGTGCTCTGCTCTGCTGCGGTCTCGTCAGCAAGCTCTTGCTGGGTGGGTGGTATAGTCCAGCCCTGTTGACCTGTGGCCCATGGCCCTATGCCCGTGATCTGCGCGTACATTGACTTGCGCTAGCCACTGGATCCCACTGCCTCCTCGCCAGCTGACTCCTCCCGGCAGGATCAGGGCATGGGGGAGGAAGACGGTGGGGGAGAGGCGTGTGGCCAAGGCGTGAGAGGGGGAGGTGTTGGAAGGAGGCGTGGAGGGGAGGCACAGGCGGGAGGCGTGGGGGAAAAGGGGTTGGGGAGCGGGTTGGGCGAGAGGTTTGGGGGAGAGGCTTGGGAAAGAGGTTCAGGGAAGTGTTGGGAGAGAGGCGTGGCAGAGAGGGGTAAGGGTGGGGCGTGCGGAGAGTGGGGGAGAGGTGCGGGAAAGCAGGGAGGGGAGACGGGTGGGTAGAGGCCGTTGGGGCAAGCGGGTGGGGGAGAGAGATGGGGGAGAGGTGTGGGGGAGAGGGTTGGGGGAGAGGGGTGAGGGAGAGGGGTGGGGGAGAGGGTTGGGGAAGAGGGGTGAGGGAGGGTGGTGGGGAGATGGGTGCAGAGAAAAAATGGGCATTGTGGCTTGAAAAAATAACCAATCTTTGCGTCACATACCTCACCCTTTTTGTCCGAGCCTTCACCTACCCTCATCTCCCTTCAACCCCCCTATCTCCTCTTAAGCCTCCCATATCCCCATTATCCCATCGCCCCCCTCACCCATGGGCGCAGCCACTCGTGCATGCCCTGCGCCATCACCCCTCACCGCTCATCCCCAAATCCCCTCCTCTCCTCTTCCCCCCTTCTCTTCTCACTCACTCACCAGCAGGCGCGACCACTCACACATGTCCTGGGCCAGCTTGCGCAGCACCACGCGGTCTGCTACTGCTGGCATGCGGCTCTCACACACCTGGCGGGGGGAAAAACGGGGAGAAAGGGGAGGGGGGACAAGTATGGATCAAGCACACTCATGCATTTGGCATGAAGCCAGACCGCATTGGAACAAGAGAAAGCCCTGGAGGAGCAAGGAGATTAGAAGAGGAGTAAGGAGAGTAGAAGAGGAGCAATGAGAGTAGAAGAGGAGCAATGAGAGTAGAAGAGGAGCAATGAGAGTAGAAGTGGAGCAATGAGAGTAGAAGAGGAGCAATGAGAGTAGAAGAGGAGCAAGGAGAGTAGAAGAGGAGCAAGGAGAGTAGAAGAGGAGAAATGACAGTAGAATAGGAGCAAGGAGAGTAGAAGAGGAGCAAGGAGAGTAGAAGAGGAGCAAGGAGAGTAGAAGAGGAGCAAGGAGAGTAGAAGAGGAGCAAGGAGAGTAAAGAGGAGCAAGGAGAGTAGAAGAGGAGCAAGGAGAGTAGAAGAGGAGCAAGGAGAGTAGAAGAGGAGCAAGGAGAGTAGAAGAGGAGCAAGGAGAGTAGAAGAGGAGCAAGGAGAGTAGAAGAGGAGCAAGGAGAGTAGAAGAGGAGCAAGGAGAGTAGAAGAGGAGCAAGGAGAGTAGAAGAGGAGCAAGGAGAGTAGAAGAGGAGCAAGGAGAGTAGAAGAGGAGCAAGGAGAGTAGAACTTAGGAAAGGGAATTTGTAAAAAAAAAAGATCGGCAAGGTCGCATCAGAGTGGCGCAGCGCAAGCGTGGTGGGCCCATAACCCACAGGTCCGAGGATCGAAACCTTGCTCTGATAAGGCTATCACCCCCAACGAGGCTGTTTTGTTTATGCTAAAATGTATTTGTTCTTCAGTTCCCAGAACAGAATCGTGGTGCGAGGATGGCTGTAAGGTTGTGATGCACACCACGCATGTACAACCACCATGGATCTCCCACCCACGCACTCTATCCTCGAGTTCTGATATTGGGAACCCTCCAAAACTTCTGCCCATTCATTCCTTCAAAAGCATTATATATCCTACTACACTGCATATCTTCTTTTTTTTCCCTACATACCCATCCGTTACAGGTGAAGGAGGTGTTTTCTCTCCCATGTATTCCTGTAGGCGCCAGTAGAAGGTAGCCAGAAAGGCCGAGGCCGCATGGGTGAGTTTTTATATTGTAGAACATTCATACACACACGCATGCAGAAATGAATACAAAGAGTGAAGGCGACCCATGAGGAGGAAAGGACTGCATAGGGTAGTAGTGTGATGTGAAGTCACACACGAGTCGGAATGAACCCTATGCTCCTTCATGGTTCATTCCGACTCACGAGCCGTGAAGGGCACAAACAAGGGGATGGGAAAGTTGCTGACAGAGTGAAAAAGAACCTCAAGAACAGCGAGCGAACCAGAGAGAGGAACCAGAGGAGTCAGGCAAGGGAGGAGATGATCAGGTTGGAGAGGTACACAGAGGGGCTGGTACAAAGGTGATGTTGTACATCAGCCACATGAAGCGAGCTGAACGAGCAGAGCAGCCAGAAGGTCCCAGGAACAGCGATGGTATCAGAAAATGGTTTCTGAGAAGGGAATCGTCGTGCAAGAGAAAGGAGGTGAGAGAAAAATAAAAGTAGCAAGCAAAGACAAAGGGGTCTTATCTGTTGAAGTTTCTCCAAACAAAAAAAACCTTCATTGTATAAGCAGAATTTGACGCTCCCATCACACCTTTACATCAATGCAAGTAGGTAGGTGAGGGTTGCAAAACGCGGCAGTGAGGGATAGGCCAGAAGGGATCCCAAGAGTAGGAAGGGAGCAAGATACAAGGCTGCACGAGGATGCGGACCAGGAATGACGACGAGTCAAAGATCTCAGCTCAGCGTGGCATGAAATATGCAACCTCACCCACCGGATACACATCCTCACACTGGATAGAACCGAATCCATGATTGGTTGCTTCCGTGGCTTGTTTCTCCTTACCACAGCCAGGCGGGGTGAGGGAAGACGGAGTGAGCACACCACGCGGGATCTGAAATTATAGTGCAAGGGAGAAGAAAAATGGTGGTGAGTCCTATACTATGAGTGAACAAAGGGGCTCGTGGCCTGGCCGTTTGAGGTGCACTTTGAGTAGGAAGATTCCTGAAGTAGACTCGCACGCAACTCGGGTCAGCTTGAGACCATGGGGCTGATAGAAAACCAGAGCATCTCGGGCTGTGCTGGTTTTCTATTACACACTTTCCAAGCCGAATCGCATGCATTCAAGACCTCAGTTTCAAAGATTTTCCGTTGGTTGAGGTTGGCGAGGAGCGTAAGACATGCTAAATCCATCCCCTGACCTGGAGGACTACCCCCGGGGGGAGTTTAGAACGAGGTGGCTCATGAGTCGCAAGGCTGGGGCGAGCCTGGCAGCTTGGTGAGAGCCTCCTTGGCCCGAGCATTAGATTCTTACCAGTTTAAACCACAAGCAAATGCACTCCTCAAATGTGAGTGGAACGCATTTGCAGGTCGAGTCAACGTTGATTTGCGAGTTGATTCGAGCAGGATAGCCGAGTTCGGTAGAATCGAAATTTGACTCGAATCGGGTCAAGGTTGGTCGACTCGTTTTGGCACATTGGCCCGATATGACAAAAAGTACGAGCAAAACGATTTGTAGGCTGCGAGCCAGGCTTGCAAGGCTTGCAATGCGGAAGGCCGACTGGGACAGCTATAGGATGGCTTACCTCTTCTCGATGTGCCCCCATGCCGCCCTGCCCCATGCCGCCTTGCCCCATGCCCCCCTGCCCCATGCTGCCCTGCCCCATGCCGCCCTGCCCCATGCCGCCGTGCCACATGCTACCTTGTCGATTGAGTGCCACGCTGCCCTGTCTCTGCAGCACACGCTGCTGCTGCTGCTGTCAAGGCTGCGCCGCCCGATCGCCACACTACACTGATGCTGTGACTACAATCCACGCTGCTGCCCACCATGCCACCACCACCGCCATTATGGGCAGTCGCGGTGCTGCCATGCTGCGCGCACTGGGGGAAGCCCAGGGAAGAGGAGGTGGGTGTGGGCATGATCACGCCCGTGAGAATGGCATCCGTGAGTGCTGCATCAGCTGCCAGCAGCCGTGCTCGCCCCTCCTCCATGCTCGCGCTCCTCCCAATCATGCTGCCTCTGCTTCCCGTGCTTCCCGTGCTGCCTATGCTGCCTGTTCTTGTTGCTGGCCGCCACAATTCCTCCATGCCTGGGTGCCCCTTGCGGAGATAACTACTACAACGGGAGCTTAGAGTACTGGCTAGGCACGTGAGCTCGTGTGATGTCTGCGTTCGTTGGTCCTTAGACGTTTTCCTAGTGCTCACACTACTTGCTAGTTCACAGGGCAATTTGGCAAGAGTTTCACTAAGAAAAGATCACAACAATGGGGCCAATGAAGTTGGCAATGCAAGACTACATCAGAGCTAGCACTCAGGTTGGTCAACTGCCAGCACAGCATGGTCGACCGCGTTCCAACACGACTTGGTCGACCGCGCTCCAGCAGTGCAAAGTCGACACCTTTCCAACGCTGGAGGTCGACGGTGTGCCAGCAGTGCACCCGCTCTGCAGGTGTGTGCAGATGATTGGTATACCGAGCCTCATCACCTGCACAGCACACACACCACGTCAGCCTCAGACTGACGGCTGCCTCTGATCTGCCACGACGACCTCGGGATACCACCATGGAGGTCTTTCTCGCCAACTTCGCCTGGGTGACCGTCGCACTCCTTCGCAGAACCTCGTCACCCAGGTATCCTGGTCGACCGGGCAACTATGTCGACCAGCTGCTCCTGTATGTGCTCGTCGACCTCCCAAGTCGACAACCACACCAAGTCGACCTCACCAGGTCGACCACTCCTCTGGTCGACCAGCTCCAGGTCAACGTCACTCCTAGTCGACCAGTGCAGTTGTCAGCCGACCACCCAAGTCGGCTACCCAAAGTCGGCGTCACCAGGTCGACGCCCCTTCTACGTCGGCGCCGACTTCCAGGCTGACCTCTCGAAGTCGGCGTCCTCCCAAGTCGGCGCCGACTTGCAAGTCGGTGACCTTGCAAGTCGGTGACCTGGCAAGTCGGTGACCTGGCAAGTCGGTGACCTGGCAAGTCGGTGCCGACTTCCAGGTCGACGTGCCACATCGCCGACCACCAGTTGAAGTCGGCTGCCGGCTTCCCAAGTCGGCGGCATTGCAGTGGCGCCGTGCAAGTCGACCAACCCCGTCGACCAGCTCGTCCAAGTCGGCGTCCCCATTGCTGCAAGTCGGCTGTACCTTCCGTACACCCCACCACAAAGTCGGCTCTGCCCAAGCGTGGACGGGGCCAACACACAACTCCCGTTGACACTCCCCTGCCGCGTTCACGATTGGCCCCCCCAAGTCCACTCGGCAGTACTCCTCGGAGAATAGCTCGTCGACGTGCACCCAACACACAGCACGTCGTCAACCGCACCAGCCATGCAGGAGGGCATGGCACCTACTGCTGCACGTTGTCATCTTCGTCGCCCACGTCGGCCAGGCGCACCTGGCCGATGGCGACGGAGCACCGGTTGAAGGCCGGATAGTGCAGCGCTTTTGTCAGGAAGTCGGCCGGCTGCTCAGTGGTCGGGATGTACCTCAACGAGAACTTCCAGCGCTTCACCATGTGCTGCAGCCAGGCCTGTCGCTGCTCCATGTGTTTGAGGTTGCCCGTCAACCCCATGCCCTCGACGACTATGATGGCCGACTTGTTGTCCACCCGAAGGACGGTCGGCTTCCCGGCATCCAGCTGCCGGAACTCTGCAAGGAGGAAGCGAAGTCGGCGTCCTTCTTTGCCGGCTTCGGTGGCTGCCACGTACTCCGACTCAGTCGACGACAACGTCGCACACTTGATGCGCTGGCTCGACCAGGAGACTGCGGCCCCTCCATAGACGAACACGTAGCCACCCGTGCTCGTCCTGTTCTGCTTGTCACCGGCGTCGTCGGCGTCCACGTAGCCGACCAGCTCCAGCGACTCAGGTCCACCGCCGAACTCCAGTGCGGTGTCGCGCGTATTGGCGAGGTAGGCGAGGCAACGGTCGACCTCGCGCCAGTGCTGGTCGCTCCTCACCGTGAGGCCGCTCCCCAGCTTGCTGCAGGCGAAGGCGATGTCCGGCCTCGTTGTCGTCGCCGCGAATTGCAGCAAGCCGACCTTCTGCCGGTACTCCTCTTCCTGCCGCTCCTGTGCCTCCTCGTCATCGAACGTGAGCTCGGCGTAGGCATCGACCGAAACCGGCGTCTTCGGGGTGCGCCCGGTCTGCTCCTCGTCGATGAAGCGCCTACGAAGCTTGTCGGCGTAGCCCTGCTGGTGCAGCCACAGCTTCCCCGCCGACCTGTCGCGGACGATCTCCAGCCCGAGGTACTTCTGTACCGGCGAGATCTCACGCAGCTCGAAGGCGGCTTCCAGCAGCTCCTTCAGCTCCTTCAACATCGCCGCGCTACTGCTGGCGGCAAGTAGGTCGTCGACGTAGACCAGCACCCAGCAGGCCACTTCGTCCTTTCCGTCCTTGAAGTAGAGAGTTTCGTCAACCTGGCTCTTCTTCCACCCGGCGCCGACCAGCACGTCATTGAGCGCCAAGTACCATAGCAGCGGCGACTGCTTTAGCCCGTACAGGCTCTTCAGCAGCTTGCACACCCGGCCGGTCCCGTCGTTGAAGTAGTCCGGCTGGGACATGTAGAGCACCCTGTCGAGCTTGCTCTGCAAGAAGGCGTTTTTCATGTCGAGCTGCATCAGGTTGAGGTTGCGGACGGCGACGATGCTGAGGAAGATCCTCAGCGTGACGTAGCTGCCCACCAGCGCGAACGTCTCGTCGTAGTCGGCGCCGTACACCTGCGTGAAGCCCTTCACAACCAGCCTCGCCTTCTCGCGCTCGACGGTGTCGTCGACGTGGTACTTCGTCGTCAACACCCACCGGTTCTTCATGACATTCACTCCCGGCGGACGTTCGACCAACTCCCACGTTCCCATGTTGAGGAGGCTGCGAATCTCCTCCTCCATGGCGGCCTTCACCGCTGGGCCCTTCCAGCTCGCCAATGCGTCCTTCACCGTCATCGTCGAGATGTCCCAACGGTGCTCGGGGTCGGCTAGCATGTCGGGGTCGAGATCTGGAAACTCCTCATCCTCCTCAGCGTCGTCGTGCAGCAGGTCGTCGGCTTCATCGTCCACGTCGTACACCGTGGTGAAGGCAGCGGGGACGAAGAAGTCAGGCGGCCTCCGAAGTCGTCCTGAACGCCGTGGTCCTGGCTGGACCTCCTCGGCGTCCCCTCCATCGTTGCTGTTGTCGCTGCCCTCGGCGTCCTGCTGCTCCTCAGCCGGCGTTCCAGCCGACTTCTCCCCTATGGTCGGCTCCCCTGCCGACTGCTTGGTCGCCGACTGCTCCTTGGTCGGCGTCACTGCTGCCTGCTTCTCTGTTGGCCGCTGGTCCTCGACCTCCTTCTCGACCTGCTCCTCCCCTGTCGTCGACTGCAAGCCCACGTCGTCCTGCCGCTCGTCGCGTCGGCCACCGGCGATGCACTTGGCCGAAGGCGGCGTCCCACTACTCCCCTCATCGCCGGAGGCCGACACCGAGGTCAGCCCACGTAGGTCGGCCACGAGGGGAGGGGCAGGGGTCGGAGGGCGAGGGGTAGGGGGGCGGACGTCCTCGACGTCCGTAATAGCAAGCTCACCGACCTCGGCAAGCAGTGGCAGCGTCGCCGACGAGGTGTCAGAGGGCGGGGTGGGCGACGAGCGGCCGGACACCGACCCGTACTCCGTCTTCCACTCGGCCAGCGACAGCTCCTCGTAGAACACCACATCTGACGTGGTGACCACCCGGTCGGCGTCGACGTCGAGGAGCTCCCAGCCCTTGCTCGCCGCCGACACGCCAAGGTGCACGCCCCACCTGGCCTTCGGCTGCAGCTTCCCACCACGCTGCTGCTCAGGTACAAGGAACTGCGCCATGCAGCCCCACACCCGCGCCAGCGACAAGTCGGGCTTCTTCCCGGTCAGCAGCTGGTATGGCGTCCTCCCCGGTGGCAGCGTCGACCTCTCAAGACAGTTGCGGACCCAGACGGCCTGTCGCAGAGCGAGGTGCCACCAGTGGTGCTGCACGCCCATGTGCAGCAGCATTGTCCGCACTGACTCCACCACCGTCCTCATCTCCCGCTCCGCCATGCCGTTCTGCTGCGGGGTGTATGGACGATCCCCTTGTCGTTCACGAAGTCGGTGAACTGCTTCCCGAGGAACTCCCCTCCCCGGTCTGAGCGCAGCATCAGCACCGACTTCTTCGTCTGCCTCTCAGCCACCGCCAGCCACTACACGAACGCCGGCAACGCATCTAACTTCTTGGTGATCGGCTTCACCCACACGTAGCGGGTCTTGCGGTCCTTCAGCAACAAGAAGTACAGGCTGCCATCCTTGGCAGCCACGCGGAATGGCCCGCAAAGGTCGATGTGCACGACGGCCAGCACATCGTCGACGTCGGAGCCGTGGTCGGGGAAGGTGTGCCGCGCCAGCTTCCCGCCGACGCACGAGACACAAGGTGAGTCAGCGCCCGTCGCCGACTTGAGGTCCAGCCCAATGGCGACCTCGTTCTTCGCCGAGCTCCGTATGGTGTCCATGCCGACATGTGCAAGCCGGGCATGCATACGGTCCGGCGTCGACTTCGTCTTCGAGACGATCGCCCGCAGAGCCACAACCGCCGTCGTGGGCGACGTCGACCTCGTTGGGCAGGGACGCAGGTCGGTGCAGAGGACACGCCCGGAGTACGTCGCCCGACCGAGCACCTCTCCCGTTGCCGAGACGAGCAGCATCCCGTCACCGTCCTCCTGCAGTTTCACACCGTGCTCCTTCAGCTGGCCGAACGACAGCAAGTTCGCCCGCACACCCGGGACGTACAGCACGTCGGGGATGAGCACCTGCTTCCCGGCCTCCCCTTGCAGGGCGATGGTGCCGCAGCCCTGGACATCCTGCAGCGCCCCATTGAAGCCGCGCACATGCCTGATGGCGCCGCTCGTCTGCAAGTCGACGAAGGCTTCCTTCGTCCCCATCAGGTGGTGGGAGCAACCACTGTCGAGCAGGACCACCGCCGGGTTCGCCTGCACAGCTGCCGCCACCGCCTGGAAGTCCTCTCCGGCCTCCGGCGCCAGAGAGATGGTCGGCTCCACGACGCCGACCAACGAGCACGACGCCGTCTTGTCGTCTCGCCCCTTGCCGCCTGCAACGGAGTCGGCGTCCTTCGCCGAAGTCGATGTCTTGGTCGACTGCTTCTCCTTGCGCGGCTGGTTTCCTCCACGACGAGGACGACGGCTGCCAGACCTCCCACGGCCTCCCTTAGTATCGTCGTCGTCGGAGTCGCTGCGGTTGGGACACTCGAAGGAGAGATGATCGGGATCGCCGCACAGCCAGCACTCCCGACGTCGACCTCCTCCTCCACGACCGCTGTCCTTGGTCGACCTCCTCTTGTCGACCTCCTTGGCCGGCTTCCAGCCACTGCTACCGCCACCGCCGGATTGCCCGCGCTGCCCCGGTCGACCTCCTTGCTTCGCTGAGGTGACCAAGTTCGCCTGCGCCAAGAGCTCCTGCGATCGCTCAGCCTCCTGCATCGCCTCGTCCTGCAGGACATACGAGGTCAGGTTGTCCTCGTTGAGCGTCGCCCTTGTGCTCGGTGCCATAGACAGTCGCTTCAGCAGGTTGTAGCTGCTAGAGAGACTTTGCATGACATGGGTGATGTACGACGCCGTGGAGTACTGCGCGCCGGCCATCCTGATGGTGGCGAGAATTCGCCTGGCTCGGTTGCAGTAGTCGGTCGCACTCTCCTCGTCGCCCATACGCAGGTGTGTCAGCTGTCCCTCCAGCTGGGCGATGAACAGGTCGTCGGTGACCTGGTACGTCGACTCGATGAAGTGCCACCCTCGGTGGCCGGCGTCGAGGTACTCCCGGCACCACTTCAAGGCGATCTGCACGCCCGGCGAGCAGCACCGCGAGATGACCGTGAAGGTCAACAGCTGCACAACGCGAAACTCCGCACGCAGGTCGGGGTGGTGCTCCCCCGGCGTCGCCACGGTCCCTCGGGCGAAGCCGATCAGCCCGGCCATCTCCAGCTGGGGCTCGATGGCTTCCTTCCAGGTGAGAATGTCAGGTCGACCGACCAGCGGAGGGGTGACCGAGATCCTGTCCGGCGTAAACTTGAAGTAGCCGTAGCTCGGTGCAATCCCACCTGCCGTCACTTGGGACGCCGACATCGGCGACAGCCCACTCCGTCGACCTCCGACGTCACCCCGCGACGCGTCTGTAGCCGCCGACGACTGCATCCCCCGCGCCTGAACGCCGCCGACTTCACCGGCGTGTATCACACCTCTCTGCCTCGACGTGCCTCCCACACTGCTGCCGACCTGACCTCCACCGGCGTTGACACCCACGTCGACGCCGCCTTCGTTGTTCACCGGACGAGGAGAGGCAGGTCGAGACGGGTGCTCCGTCGCCCACATGGAGCGGAGTCCAGCCTCGACGACCGGCCAGGGCACGTCGCCGTACTCGTTGGCCTCGTGCTTCCTCCTCGCGTTCTCCAACCGTGCCTCTAGGGTGTCCACCACCCCCGCGTCACCTACGGCTCCTACCATAGTGACTACCGCACGGTTGCCGGCCTGCAACTACGAAATAGGTAAGTGGTGTCTACGTCGACCTGACTGAAGGTAAGTCGTGTGCCGTCCACGCTCACCGCACCATGCGGAGATAACTACTACAACGGGAGCTTAGAGTACTGGCTAGGCACGTGAGCTCGTGTGATGTCTGCGTTCGTTGGTCCTTAGACGTTTTCCTAGTGCTCACACTACTTGTTAGTTCACAGGGCAATTTGGCAAGAGTTTCACTAAGAAAAGATCACAACAATGGGGCCAATGAAGTTGGCAATGCAAGACTACATCAGAGCTAGCACTCAGGTTGGTCAACTGCCAGCACAGCATGGTCGACCGCGTTCCAACACGACTTGGTCGACCGCGCTCCAGCAGTGCAAAATCGACACCTTTCCAACGTTGGAGGTCGACGGTGTGCCAGCAGTGCACCCGCTCTGCAGGTGTGTGCAGATGATTGGTATACCGAGCCTCATCACCTGCACAGCACACACACCACGTCAGCCTCAGACTGACGGCTGCCTCTGATCTGCCACGACGACTTCGGGATACCACCATGGAGGTCGGTCTCGCCAACTTCGCCTGGGTGACCGTCGGACTCCTTCGCAGAACCTCGTCACCCAGGTATCCTGGTCGACCGGGCAACTATGTCGACCAGCTGCTCCTGTATGTGCTCGTCGACCTCCCAAGTCGACAACCACACCAAGTCGACCTCACCAGGTCGACCACTCCTCTGGTCGACCAGCTCCAGGTCAACGTCACTCCTGGTCGACCAGTGCAGTTGTCAGCCGACCACCCAAGTCGGCTACCCAAAGTCGGCGTCACCAGGTCGACGCCCCTTCTACGTCGGCGCCGACTTCCAGGCTGACCTCTCGAAGTCGGCGTCCTCCCAAGTCGGCGCCGACTTGCAAGTCGGTGACCTTGCAAGTCGGTGACCTGGCAAGTCGGTGACCTGGCAAGTCGGTGACCTGGCAAGTCGGTGCCGACTTCCTGGTCGACGTGCCACATCGCCGACCACCAGTTGAAGTCAGCTGCCGGCTTCCCAAGTCGGCGGCATTGCAGTGGCGCCGTGCAAGTCGACCAACCCCGTCAACCAGCTCGTCCAAGTCGGCGTCCCCATTGCTGCAAGTCGGCTGTACCTTCCGTACACCCCACCACAAAGTCGGCTCTGCCCAAGCGTGGACGGGGCCAACACACAACTCCCGTTGACACCCCTGTCCCCTTCTCCCCCCTCCCCCTCCTTCGGCCTTGTGCCTGCGCGCATGTCTGTATTGATCAAACTGCCGCTCATGCTCCCTCCCGCCCCTTCTCCCCCACCTTCTCCCCCCCCTCTTCCCTCTCCCCCCCCCTCTTCCCTCTCCCCTCCCTCCCATTCTCCTGCCCATGCTGCCCTCGAGTCGTCTCCCTGGGGCAGTAGTGTAGGGGAGGCGCGCAAAAGAGGAGCTAATGCTGCTAGTGCGAGGCGTGCGGAGGAGAGGCTGAGGCAACGGGCCTGACACAGGCAGTGGGGGGAGAAAGAGGGGAGCCAAGGCGCTGGTGGGACGAATGTGAGAAGCAGAGAAGAAAGTGGTGCTGCGGATACTGCAGACACGTGGTGTCATATGGCATTGCGTGGGGGACAGCCACAGCAGTCGCACATGCGCGAAACACACCTAAGGAGCAGGGGAAGAGCGACTTCTAAAGCAACGTGCTGGACACTCCCCCCCCCCCCCCCCCCTCCCCCAACCATCTGCACCACCACGGCCGCCAGTATCCGCGTCCCCTCTGCTGCTCTTGACTCCTCATTCCTTCCTCCCTTTCCTCGCCCGCTCCCTCTGCTGCCCCCTCCCATGCTCGCTGCCTCTCACTCCTCCATCTGCCTGCCCCCACTTCACCCTGCTGCTCCACTGCACCCGCCGCCAGTCTACCTGCGCTGCCCGCGGCGCTTGCGTCGCCCAGGCGCGGCCCCAAGAAGGAGTAGAAGGCGGGCACGGGTGCTGCAGGGCTCACTTGGGCGGGCGGCGGCACGGAGTGGTGCGACAGGGAGAGCAAGGGGTAGGAGGGGGGATATGGGGAAACAAGGAGGAAGGGGAAGCGGGAAGGAAGGGCAAGAAAATGGGGGTTTGGGGGGGAAGAGAAGGAAGGTGAGATTAGGGCAGTGGGGGCGGAGAGAGGGGTTGGGAGGTGCAGACACGAGTGTGGCTGCCCCTCTCCCTTGCGCTCTTTTCTTCCCTCTCCCATCATCCTTCCCCATCCCCCTCATCTTCCCCCTTCCCCTCCCCTCCCTCTCCCTCCTCCCCACTGTCCACGCCCAGTGCTGCCAGCCACCGTAGCGCCACCGCCGCCGCCACCTCCCGTGCCCACTCGCCCTCCCCCTCGCTCGAACAAGTTGCCAAGGGACAAGGAGCGGATGGGGGAGTTACCCACTGGATATACTTGAGGCGCAGGGGAAGCACTCAACCTTACAAATAAGCCCCACAGGCGTTGCACGAATAGAGGAGGATGGGGAGCGAAGTGGGTGCCGTGGGCACGCGACAGGGACTGATGCTGCGAGCAACGCGGACGAGAATAGAGCAGGATGGGAAGCAGGGTGAGTAAAGTGGTTGGTGAGACGGAATGGTTTAAGAGCAACAAAGAGCATGGATCTAGGGTAACGTCTTTATGCACAGCGATTGCAATGGGGAGCAGAATGCGGGACGCGGGGAGGCGAGGGGCTTTCGAGGCGCCAAAAGAAGCGCGAAGAGAGCGGGATGGGGAACGGAGTGAGTGGTGCGGGGAGGAATCTTGTCGGATCGACCTACGTGCACACTGAATCCCCCTCGTTCCCTCCTCTCCCCTTCAACAATGGTGATTTCCCATCCTACCTGCAGCAAGGTTTTTGTCGGACCAATCCACTCGCACATCGATTGTCGTTCCCTCTTTCCCCCTTGCGTGCAAGTCTGCGCCTCAATGGATCAACCTGCGAGCAGTTATCTCCTAATGCGAGCAATAGAGGGACCCCATTTCAAGTGAGTGAACTCAGTGCAATAGACCCCACTGCGACTGCGACTTGCCTCAGCGACAGACCCCACCCCAGTGAGTCAGACCTCAGTGCGACAAACGGCAGTGCGACAAACTTTAGTGTGACAGACGTCACAGATCCAGCGCGCTGCCTTGTGTGGAGCGACAGTCGCATCGTCATGCCCAAGTTCTTCCAATGAACAGCACAAAAACAAGACAAAGAGGGTGACCACCAGGCAATTAATAATACGTTATCAGAGTAATCGCTGTGCTTTGATGTGACGTCGCACTGTGAAGTGCAAAACAATACTGATACAAAAAAAAAAGTGTAACATAGACTAACACGGTTTCCTCAGCAAACCCATCACACCACAAACGAGCTCGTGCTCAGCAGGACTCGAGCCTGCGCGGGCAGAGCCCAACAGATTTCTAGTCTGTCCCGATAACCACTCCGGCATGAGCACATGTCTGTGCTCCCCACAACTGGAGCATACTCCCCTAACCAGCCCTGGGCTTCTCCTTTTGCTCAACCCTGGGAACCCAGTAGCCCTGCCTAACCTCGCCTCATCTGCTCGACCTCGAAAACTGACGGCATGCAACAAGCTTGCTAGAAGTGACTTGCTGGTGAACCATCCTTAGACTACGTTCCTCTCACCACCTACCGCCTTCTCCCGCTGCTCTACCCTGAGATAGGACATGACCACAAGGAAAACAGCAGGCCCACCTAGCCTTGCCTCACCCGTAATCTGTTCGTGACCCACTATTGACAAACAAGTTTCAAACAGCCCAGCCCACCACCCCTCACTCACTCCCGAACGCACCTCCTCCTCCCTCTGCTCGTCACTCCTAAAAAACCGCCACGGGGGACCCAGCCGCCCCTCCCACCAGCTTCGCCTCACCCGTGATCTACGAGTGACACAGAAGCATCATACAGCCCAGCCCACCACCCCTCGCTCACTTCGGACGCACCTCCTCCTCCCTCTGCCCGGCCATCCTCAAAAACCGCCACGGGGAACCCAGCAGCCGGGCCTCACCCAGCTTCGCCTGCAGCCTCCCGTGCAGCTCTGCCATGGCAGCAACCTCTTCTTGGGTGAGCAGTGCGCCCGTGCCGTGGGTATGGGGGAGTCCGTGGGGCAGAAGATGGCGTGGGAGAAGCAGGTGCGGGGCTGAAAGGGGGAGGGTGAGAGGAGCGGGGGGAGGGTGAACAACACAGTGGCTTATGAGGGGATTGTGGGAGGCAGTACCGTAGGAGCGTGGTTTCAGTAGGCCAGAAGTGGGTGTAGGAGAGGCAGGTGTGAAGCTGGTGAAGAGAGGAGTGGAGGAGGAAAGAAAAGAGGGTAAGGGTGGTGAGAGGAAGGTGCGGTGGAGCCCTGGAAGGAGTGCACTTGGAAGCCCGCGGGTTCCCTGTGAACAGTGCGCCCATGTTGCAGAGGTGGGGGATTTATGGGCCAGAAATCGGTACGTGAGAAGCAGGTACTGTGCGGAGCTGGTGGGGACACGGCAGGAAGGGATGGGGGAGGTGGGAAGGGGAGAGGAAGGGACAGCGCGTGGGCGACGGAAGTGGCAGAAGTCCGCGGGCCACACATGGAGTAGGAGGAACAGGTGCATCATAGCTGGGGGGGGTGGGAAGAGAGAGGCGGAGCGAGAGGGTATGGGGAAGGGAGGGGATAGCGCCTGGGAGAGCTGAGCGGTGTGCCCGTTGGGGCGTGTGTCTATGAGTCTGTGTAGAAAAACTAGGTGCGGAGCTGGAAAGGAAAGGGGAGAAGGGGTGAAAGAGGTCAAGGGAAAGGGAAGAAGTGGGAGGAAGTGATAGTGCCTTTGTGAGTAATGTGCTTGTGTGGTAGGGGCAGATGTCAGGGGCACACAAGTCGATGTGGATTACACATTCACGGGCATTATCCAGCCTGTTAACTCCCCCCAGGTCCCTTCCACCCATTGGTGACACCCATCGCATCACATATGACCTCCGCCCGCCCCAGCAGCAACCCCTCCTTCAACCCCCTTCAGCCCCCCCCCCCCCCCCCACTCCTTTCACAAACCCCCACTCACCGTCCCCTTGGCCAACTTTCACACGAATACCCACCCCTCTCCACTCTGACCTGTGGGGTTGGCGATATATCCACCGTACCACCGCCCCGCCATCTTCAACACCAAACACATCCTCTATAGCCTCCGCCAGCCCCATCAGCAGTCCCCATTCCCCGCCCCCTCGTGAGCGCCCTCTGCAGCGCAAACGCTCACAGAGCTGGGGTGGAGAGGGGGGAAGAGAAGAAAGGAAAAGAGGCAGTGGCTAATGAGAGGGATGTGAGTGACAGTGCTGTGAGGATGCAAACCTGTGGGCCGGAAGTCCCTAAAGGAGAAGTAGGCGCAGAGATAAGGGGAAGCGGAGAAAGGCGGGGAGCAGTGCTTTGATGAGGAGGATGCGGGCAGGGAGGGAAGCGGGAGACAGTGCTAAAGAAGCGTGAATCTGTAGGTCTGTGGAGGAGGAGCAACGGAGCTTTGGGGGGTAAGGGAGAAGGGGGAAAGAGGGTCAAGGGGAAAAGGCGAAAGTGGTAGGGAACACAGTGAATTAGCGAGAAATGTCATGTGTGGTAAGGGCAGAATTCAGGGGATCAAAATGCAGTGTGGCATACACACATGCAGTGCTGAGCCTTAGTTGGTACTCTACGTTTTTTTGGGTCACGTAAACGTAAACTTACGCTTGAGTTTACCTTTACGTTTTCTTACGCGTAATTTTACGTAAAGTCGCACGGGCAGGGCAAAAAAAAGTTTTTTTGCCCGCGAAACGAAAAATCTGACTGATATGAGGTGGGAGAGGCTGCTACATGTTTGTGTAGATTTGGGGCATCTGTAAGTTGATGTAATAATGTGCTAACATGCTTGGGCGTAGAAGAACCAAGCTAGTGATAGATTAGGCGCTTCCCATGCAGCCACTCAGTCCGATGATTTCTTATATTTCCGGGCAGTTAGAACTGTTTCTAGCTGACCGTAAACGTAAAGCCATTTTTAGCCCACGTAAGTTAACGTAAGTTAACTACGTAAAGTCACGTAAACGTAAACCACCGTAAACGTACAATACCAACTAAGTGCTGAGCGGATGAGATGGGGGGAGGTTGCAATAGGGAGTTGGTTGGGAAGACGTAATTGGAAATTTAAAAGGAGAGGAGGTTTTTGCAGGGGGGATGGGGGGATGAGATTCACTCTTGGCTGCAACCATCCTTTCAGCTCACCTATGCTGCTCATCAACTCCCTCCACTCACATCAAAGCCATCCCAAAGCCACTCACAATGACTCCTCGCCAACTCTTCACTGACTCTCAGCAACTCTCGCCGAGATAGCTATTCAACTGCCCCCTTCCCACCGCCACCCACGAGTGACCCGAGTGGTTCCTACACACATCTCCCCCGCTGCGCACCGACTTCCAACCAAGCCCCTACATGTTTCTAACCTTGGCGATTTCTAGCTTGTCAACTGCTGCCACCAAACAAGCCCCCAGGCGTCTTCTATGGCCTCTGCCAGCCCTGGAAGCACCCCCTCCCCCCCCACTCTCCCCTCCCCCCGCCCTTTCCGTCGCTTCTCCCCCCTTCCTCCACGCCCCTTCTTCCCACTCCTCCCCCCCTTTTCACCGCTTCCTCAATTGACATCCACACACGCCCCTACCCAGCAGGCCCGTCACCGACTCTCACCTTCGTCATACAAGTCCATCCGAAGCCACAAGAGAAGTTGGCGAGCTGCCATGTGAAGCTCGGGATCTGAATTGTACTTTCCCGTGTGTGATTTCGACCACAGCCTGTGGGGGAGCAGAGAAGCGGGGATTGAGGACAATATGAGCGGAAAAAAGGGGAGGGTAGAGGGTGACGGGGGGGAAGGGGGGAGAAGCAGAATGGGAGAGACAAGGCGAGTTGAATAGGGAGAGAGGAGCGCAGGGAACCAATCGCAGCGACAGTAATTGTTGCAACACGTGGATGGCAGAATGACGCTTCAACAACCTGTGCCATGTGGCATGCGACAACTGTACCTCCTGAATCTGTCCGATCTTCCCAGCACCATCATCCCTTCGCTTTTTGCTTTATGCATCATGAAATCTCCAATAACACATATCTGTCATGTCACTGGTAAATATCTTTAATGTAAGCACCGGACAAAACGTCTTGCTGCTGCGACGCCATGCGGGGAATACCCAGCGTAACACAGAGAGCTGCAGCTTACCATCAGCACTACTCCGTCCTTGCAACCCTCCCCACGAAATCCACAGCACCTTCGACGCCTCAGAGAAAGGCCCGAAACAGACCGAGGCAGCCTCGCTGCACCGCCTGTGCATGCGGCCGAGTCACCATCCTATCTCAGAAATCCCGCGAATGGGTGTCGCGATTTGCCTAAGCAGGCAACAGGGACCGCCGAAGGAAGGCTGAATCACTTGTGCGGCGTCGCACAAGTGCAGCAGCAGCACCAGCAGCAGCAGCAGCTGCGCGCCGTCTCGCGAGGCGGGAGTGCGCAGCAGCATTTGCAGCAGCAGCGGCGGGAGCTGCACACCGAGCAAGGCGGGAGTGCGCGGTGCGGGGAGAGCGATGATCGGATCAGGTAGACTCGAGTCTGAAATGCCGCAACGTAGTAGCAGCTGGCGACATGGGCACGACGACGGGTCGTTTCTGTAGCTGCTACTTGAAAATAATGTCTATTGGTAGCTATAAAAGGATAGCAGGGGCCATTGATAGAACTAATATAGAGAGCGAGTGCACATGGTAGATTGGATTGGCGGTGACGAAGACGCTGGCGACGATTCCACCAATGCGTGGTGCGGACGGAAAGAGCCGGTACGGTTCCATGCACAGCTACTATAAACCGCCATCGATGCACAGCTGCTTGAGAAGGTGGATTTCTGGAAGTGAGGTAGGCACAAGAAGATTCAAAATTAGGGTTGGAGGCTGTAATAACCATCGAACAGAGAAATGGAAACGACGATATGTGATTCCAGCCTCCATTTACACGAGCACCACCTTGCTTGGCGAAATTTCCGTGGCAAGGTTTGGGTTGGGGACAAAAGGCTCGGAAGCGACGCGAATCAGCTTCGGCTTCGTCAAATCGGCCGAGCCTGATCCCCACCATCTTCGGGAATTCGTACAATACCCCTAAAATGTCGTCTCCAGACCAGAAAGTAACCGAACGCACAGACCTCCGAACTTCACGCGTCCCACACCAAACGGCTCGCCTAGGAACTAAAACGCCAGCCGAGCCTGGCGATCACGCCGTACACCCTTTGCCTCGACAATCGTAAGTTTTTTGGCCAGTTTATTGCGAACTCGGAACCTCGCAATGTTCGGAGCTTCGCACAATGCCGAAGGGACCTGAACAAATTTGGTCATCCTAAGTTTGCTTCCAGCAAATAGAACCTAAGCAACAACCTGTGTCAGCGGTCTTTATGCTCCCTCCTAATCGCCTTGAGGAGCCACGGCTCAAGTGGAAAGCAAACCAGAATCCACACACACACTCGTTTTCACGTTCGAGGCTTTAAGTAGTACGCTCTGCTGTGCGTTGTCGGTGTATTATTTAGGCGTCTAAAAATTGGTCGCTGTGCTTCGCTGTCGGTTCTACCAGGTTCAGTCGTCGTGATGGGTGCCAATTTCGACATGTCACGCCAATTCCGCATGTCGCGCCCCCGTTTTGCCATGTCACGCCGCCATTTCGATACGTCGCGTCGCCATTCCACCATTGCTCGCCGCCATTTCGCCACGTCACGCAGTATTAGGATTCGTGCAGGCAACGGTAAGTCGCACTTGCGCCGCTTGCATTTCTCGAGAATGCGCTGCCTGCATGCTCTTCCCTCTTCTGCCTGGAAGTAAGAGCGGTGTTACTACCATAACGGGTCGCGCGCTCGTCTAGTGCTACGGCGCGCTGACTGGGAGCCGTGGCTTGCCACGGTCAGGTGGCTGTCGGCTCCTTGAGTCACCGAGAGCTGATGGCGTGGCATATGGCCGGGGCCAAACCCGTGGTTTAGTTTGGCGCTTGGACGCAAAGGAGGATGACCGTAGCGCAGCTCGTCCGCGTGCTCGCCGCGTCCTGCCGCGCCACTCGGAACGGCGAACACGCAGCGGCGTTTCACGCGTACCTTAGTAGGATTGGCGTCATTGTAGCGGTGGCGGCGGGCTTTCCCAGTGGCATAACAGCGAGCACGAGAGAGCTCATTCCCCCATGCAGAGCGCACTGCGGACCTGGCGGCACACGATGCCTAGGGGGGCTGCGTCGGTGGGGAAGCGAAGTGCCGTGAAGCCGCCCCTACAGACGTGCCGCGTATGTGCGTGTGCCTCGTCACTTGGGGAGCGCATCGTTGCTTTGTGCATCGTCGCTCAGTGCATCGTCACACTGTGTATCGTTGCTCAGTGCATCGTCACACTGTGTATCGTTGCTCAGTGCATCGTCACACTGTGTATCGTTGCTCAGTGCATCGTCACACTGTGTATCATTGCTCAGTGCATCGTCACACTGTGTATCATTGCTCAGTGCATCGTCACACTGTGTATCGTTGCTCAGTGCATCGTCACACTGTGTATCGTTGCTCAGTGCATCGTCACACTGTGTATCGTCGCTCAGTGCATCGTCACACTGTGTATCGTTGCTCAGTGCATCGTCACACTGTGTATCATTGCTCAGTGCATCGTCACACTGTGTATCGTCTCGCAGTGTATCATCGCGCAGAGCGACTGAGTCAGCCCCATATGCACACCCCCCAACACTCGAACTATCCTTGTCGTTGAATACAAGTGGTACAGCAAAGTCAAGCGTAAAGAACTAAGGTAAGATTTCATCAGCCAACCTAAGCAAGGAAAAAGCCCTGACAGGTATATGCCACGAGGGGGTGCATATGAGGGAAGGAAATGAAAAGGAGGGGGAGGGGGGGGGGAGGGGGAAGATGGGGGTATAGTCATGGGGAGTGGGTTGCTCTCCCTCTCCTGCATCCCGTCCCTCTCCTTCTGCCTCGCTTCTGCCTTCCCCTCCCCTCTCCCGGTTTCATTCCCTCCACTCCCCCTTCCCTTTCGTCCCCCCTGCCGTTCATACCAAACGCAGACCCATCTCCTGCTCCCACTTCTCCCACTGCTGCTGCTCACTTGCTTCTGCCAGCTGCACGCTGGTGGTGGCGCGGCAAATACAGGCAGCAGACTGTGAGTGTGCCCGGGCGGGCGGGCGGGCGTAAAGGGGCGGTATGGGGAGGTGACATGCAGGGTGATGCGCGGTGATGCGAGATTGTCCAATGCCACTGTGACTCTCTCTCACCACGTTCCGCAGAAGCGCTCTAGCCGCTGCGCATGTCCTGCAACGATCAATCGCTCTCCTCCTGAACGCACAGCTCACCTCAACTTCCTCGTTCCAACTCTCCTTGCCCCCTCTTTGCCTCTCCATGCCCCCCTTCCTATGCTACTACCCTGTTATCACCCCGCCTTCCCTCCTTTCCCTCCCTTTCCTCCTTCCACTCCCTCTTCTCATCCCCTCTCCCAACAACCCTCACTCATCTGTCGTACAACCCTCTTCCGGTCCCTGCGTGCCCCCATGCCCCTCCCCGCGTTGCTTCCCTCCCCCCACACTCCACCGTGCCCGCTGACCTCCGTGAGCCCGCGGCTGCACCCCCTGCGTCCAACCCTCTCCTGCCTTCGCTGGCAGTCAAGCTGTTTTGCACGTGCTGGCAGCGTGGGGGCAGCTTGGGGGCGGCTGGCAGGCGTGGTCGGCCAGCAGCGACTGCTCCACCGTGCAGGGCGTCGCATGCGACGCTCGCAGGCAACGTCGTCTCCCTGGTACGTGAGGCATGTGAGTGCTGCTCCAGCGCATGTGAGTGCTGCTCCAGCGCATGTGAGTGCTGCTCCAGCGCATGTGAGTGCTGCTCCAGCGCATGTGAGTGCTGCTCCAGCGCATGTGAGTGCTGCTCCAGCGCATGTGGGTGCTGCTCCAGCGCATGTGGGTGCTGCTCCAGCGCATGTGAATGCTGCTCCAGCGCATGTGAGTGCTGCTCCAGCGCATGTGAGTGCTGCTCCAGCGCATGTGGGTGCTGCTCCAGCGCATGTGGGTTCTGCTCCAGCGCATGTGGGTGCTGCTCCAGCGCATGTGGGTGCTGCTCCAGCGCATGTGAATGCTGCTCCAGCGCATGTGGGTGCTGCTCCAGCGCATGTGAATGCTGCTCCAGCGCATGTGAGTGCTGCTCCAGCGCATGTGAGTGCTGCTCCAGCGCATGCGAGTGCTGCTCCAGCGCATGTGGGTGCCTTCAGAGTACTCTCGGCCCGCTTGCCAGGGGCGTGCCAGCAACGTGTGCAGGTACTGGCTATGCCCCAGGGGTGCGTTCGGGTGGGCGGCTCTACTGAGAGTGAGAGTGCTGAACAAATAAGAGGGAAGATTGTGACGAGGGCGGATGAAAAAGCAACGCGGAATGCTGTCTTGTCATGTGTGCGTGCGTGCAGTGCGGCAGATGGGACGCACCATCAACGTCCCAGGCATCCCTCTCCTCACCTCAGTACATTGCCCCATCTGTAGTCCTTCCACGTCTCCCCTCCCTCTCCCTCTCCTAATTGTTCATTTTCCTTGCCCCAACCTTATACGTCCAACCCCATCCAACCCCATTTCGTGTATCCCGTCCATCCCCATGTTTCTCCATGTGTGCGCCACGCATGCAGCAAGCCGAGAGTGAATCATCTGAACATCTCCAAATGACATGAGCAACCTCCTTCAGTGTCACCTACCTGTCAGTACCACCCTTACCCCTCCTACCTAATCCATCCCATCCCACAACTACTTGGCTCTGTCCCTGTTTCATTGCATGAGTTTGTGTCACATGCCAGGTAGTCCCATGCTCTCTCCCTTTCTCGGATCCCTTCTTGACCATCTGTCCTCTGGAGGAACCGGCTGAGTTGATCAGCTTGTTGACCAACCTGATTTGAGTGATCTGCGCAGAACTGGCTGAGTTGATCCGTGCCTGAGTCCCTTATCTGTCGCACCTCAACCAACTCGCCACACTGTAATATATCCACTGCACTGAGAGATCTGGGCAGGCTCAATTGCTGAGGGGTGTCACTGGGTCGAAGAGGGTAGAGGGTTAGTGGTTGCGGGTGTACTGGCATGGGGCCACTGCGTGTGCAGAGTGAAAGAGTCTCAAGTTATGATTGTGATAAATGAGAGATAGGCTAACATAGGAAAGGAAACGGTGGGCAGATTGGATGAGTGCCCACACCATCATTGGTGGGTCAATTAGGTTGACCACGCAATGATTGGCCAACATTATTGGGGGATGGGGGGGGGGGGGGGCAATAATTGATTAGATGGCCCAGTCATTATTTGGGATCCCCCAACAAATACGGTCCAAAAATGTTGGGAAGCACTCAACCAAAATCGGTTGGGGCTACTTGAGCCAAAGTGTACCACATTGGGTGTATCACTTACAGTAGTATTGACTAGCATATGCAACATTCTAACAGATAGATATTGAAAGACGAATGGGAGCGGGATTGCTGTGGTGCAGCGCGGACTATGTACAGGGCGTTGTGTGCATGCATGCATTCTTGTGCGTTAGCACTCAGCACTGCACCATGCAAGAATATTGGGCTCTGCTTTTACCAAGGCTATCCCATGCATGTGTATCTCGTTGTCAGTAGCGCTCAGTGGGGCACATAACGCATCGCCAATGGTCCATTCCATTCCCTGTAACCATGTGCAGGAGCCTTTCGGTCAACGGGTTCACTGTGGACAGCAGTCTGCCCTCAGCACCATCTCCACCCTCGATATCCTGTCAGCCACCCCATTGCCTCGCCCACCCTGCTGTTGCATCTGCACGTGTTATTTGTTCACTCATAGCGCCATGCGGCTCTCCCTTTTCCATGCCATGCTCTGACTGTCCTCCTCGCCTTGCTGCATGCAAGGCAGTGAAGCTCCGCTCCTGTCAAGATAACGATGTTGCAATGCCCCCTTGAGTCTGATAAAGTGACGCTGCAGCCCTCAACAATATTACTTACGCGCCCGTGTGGATGTTTCTCGAGCTAATCTTGAAAGAAGTCAGATTGATTAAAATGGATCGATGCAACTGCCTCTGTTCCCCTGCTCTGCCTTAGAGTCGACTACAAGCTCTGTGCTTTTTAGCCGACTGAAAAGAAACTGTCTCTATCCTGTGCTCTGCCGTGCAGCGACCTGCACAATAACAACTTCCCTGGCGCCATTCCTGATTAGATCTCCACCCTACCCACACTGATGAGCATGTATGCATACATCATGAGCATGCATGCAGTCATCATGAGCATGTATGCAGTCATCATGAGCATGTATGCAGTCATCATGAGCATGTATGCTGTCATCATGAGCATGTATGCAGTCACCATGAGTATGGTATGTACGCCATTCATTCTGTCATTGTATGGGGCCAAGAATCTGCTCATGGAACTTTGACTCACAAGTTGTGAGAGCGCGTGCGGTGTTCTTTTCAATCTCTGGGCTAATCACCGCTCCACCGAAAATTCCTCTTTCCCTACCGTACTCCAGCCTTAGTAATGTCTTGAATAGACGCTTGACACCAATCATTATAGCTTTAGGGTTCAACATACAATCATAGACAATTTTTAATGCTTGCGAGCGATTCATTGTGTGCACAGGGTACAGCCGAAACATAGTGTATGGATCCAGAACGAGATTTTAGTGTACAGACCTCCACTCCCCCGTTTTGGCCCCTGCTTCATAAGGACACTGCCCTAAGGACAGAGGCAGTGGTTTATGATAATGGATTTCGCCGAAACCCACTATCTGGTAGCTCTCTCATTTGTCCGCTCTGATGTTTGTAGCGCTCGTGCTACTTGTCAGGCCTATCACATCACGATAGGAGACACGTGTAGCATGCTGAAATCATGCTCTCCTTTCTTATCCCCAACCTAGTGTTTAATCAAGCCATGTATTTACAGGGAGCTGGCACGGTCAAACATTGGTGGAACCTAGCCCCTCTATTGGAACCCTGAGTCACCTTGACATCTCGCCAACCATAACCCATCCCTGTAGCTTCTCTCTTGGTGTTTGCCTTGCTTGCCTGGTGTGTTGCCGGTGCAACCTCCTGTGCACATATGATTCCGAGTCTCCTTGGCTTGGCATCAGTCTATGTCAGTAGCTTTGAGGACAAGAGTCATCACAAAGGTACTGAGACATTGCGTGTTAAAGACATATGTGCAGACTGCAATAGAATGCTCTCTCTCTCGTTCACTCAAGGACTCCCTTATCGTTCCATCATCATAGTCTGTGATGTATCACGTGTGCACACGACGTCTTCCACGCTGTGGGTTCAGGTAGCTAGAGGGTGTGGGGCTCAGGGGCACGGTCCCCAGATCATTCTCCTTCAGAACTTGGGCTTTTTGTGTGTGCACCCTGGCTGCTTGCTGTTGTATCCAGTGTCCCTTGGCGTCTGGTCCAATCACACTTATCCAAGTTACCAACCTTGACATGTAGTTGAAATCATGCTTGTATGCAACGCAACTGCATGCAACAACAGCACTCCATGCTACCTCCGCTGAGGGCCTTAGGAAGCGCACTCAACCCTGCTGGATGGGAGTCCAAGTGCTGCCATGCCATGCACGCCGCGTTCACGAGTTGTCTTCGGATGTGCTTTCTTCCAGCTACCTGAACAGGAACGTCCTCTCTGGCGATGTGTACGGCATCACACGCAATATGACCAGCCTTGTCACGCTGCACGTGCATGGGGGGAATCGCATATGGCATGCACCATGTGCTATTTGCCATGTCCCAGGTCCCATGTGCCAATGGGCCTTGTGCCATTTGTTACTTGCCTTGGTGTGTTGAGGGGGTCCTGAAAGAGCCCATTCTAAGAGAGCATTGGATTGGGAAGGAGGACTACAGATAGGACTGAAAATGCTTGTTACACCAAGCCCCTTCCTTTGGTCCGATGGTTTACACCAAGCCCCTTCCTTTGGTCCGATGGTTTACACCAAGCCCCTTCCTTTGGTCCGATGGTTTACACCAAGCCCCTTCCTTTGGTCCGATGGTTTACACCAAGCCCCTTCCTTTGGTCCGATGGTTTACACCAAGCCCCTTCCTTTGGTCCGATGGTTTACACCAAGCCCCTTCCTTTGGTCCGATGGTTTACACCAAGCCCCTTCCTTTGGTCCGATGGTTTACACCAAGCCCCTTCCTTTGGTCCGATGGTTTACACCAAGCCCCTTCCTTTGGTCCGATGGTTTACACCAAGCCCCTTCCTTTGGTCCGATGGTTTACACCAAGCCCCTTCCTTTGGTCCGATGGTTTACACCAAGCCCCTTCCTTTGGTCCGATGGTTTACACCAAGCCCCTTCCTTTGGTCCGATGGTTTACACCAAGCCCCTTCCTTTGGTCCGATGGTTTACACCAAGCCCCTTCCTTTGGTCCGATGGTTTACACCAAGCCCCTTCCTTTGGTCCGATGGTTTACACCAAGCCCCTTCCTTTGGTCCGATGGTTTACACCAAGCCCCTTCCTTTGGTCCGATGGTTTACACCAAGCCCCTTCCTTTGGTCCGATGGTTTACACCAAGCCCCTTCCTTTGGTCCGATGGTTTACACCAAGCCCCTTCCTTTGGTCCGATGGTTTACACCAAGCCCCTTCCTTTGGTCCGATGGTTTACACCAAGCCCCTTCCTTTGGTCCGATGGTTTACACCAAGCCCCTTCCTTTGGTCCGATGGTTTACACCAAGCCCCTTCCTTTGGTCCGATGGTTTACACCAAGCCCCTTCCTTTGGTCCGATGGTTTACACCAAGCCCCTTCCTTTGGTCCGATGGTTTACACCAAGCCCCTTCCTTTGGTCCGATGGTTTACACCAAGCCCCTTCCTTTGGTCCGATGGTTTACACCAAGCCCCTTCCTTTGGTCCGATGGTTTACACCAAGCCCCTTCCTTTGGTCCGATGGTTTACACCAAGCCCCTTCCTTTGGTCCGATGGTTTACACCAAGCCCCTTCCTTTGGTCCGATGGTTTACACCAAGCCCCTTCCTTTGGTCCGATGGTTTACACCAAGCCCCTTCCTTTGGTCCGATGGTTTACACCAAGCCCCTTCCTTTGGTCCGATGGTTTACACCAAGCCCCTTCCTTTGGTCCGATGGTTTACACCAAGCCCCTTCCTTTGGTCCGATGGTTTACACCAAGCCCCTTCCTTTGGTCCGATGGTTTACACCAAGCCCCTTCCTTTGGTCCGATGGTTTACACCAAGCCCCTTCCTTTGGTCCGATGGTTTACACCAAGCCCCTTCCTTTGGTCCGATGGTTTACACCAAGCCCCTTTCTTTGGTCCGATGGTTTACACCAAGCCCCTTCCTTTGGTCCGATGGTTTACACCAAGCCCCTTCCTTTGGTCCGATGGTTTACACCAAGCCCCTTCCTTTGGTCCGATGGTTTACACCAAGCCCCTTCCTTTGGTCCGATGGTTTACACCAAGCCCCTTCCTTTGATCCGATGGTTTACACCAAGCCCCTTCCTTTGGTCCGATGGTTTACACCAAGCCCCTTCCTTTGGTCCGATGGTTTACACCAAGCCCCTTCCTTTGGTCCGATGGTTTACACCAAGCCCCTTCCTTTGGTCCGATGGTTTACACCAAGCCCCTTCCTTTGGTCCGATGGTTTACACCAAGCCCCTTCCTTTGGTCCGATGGTTTACACCAAGCCCCTTCCTTTGGTCCGATGCTTTACACCAAGCCCCTTCCTTTGGTCCAATGGTTTACACCAAGCCCCTTCCTTTGGTCCGATGGTTTACACCAAGCCCCTTCCTTTGGTCCGATGGTTTATCTGTATGTTCAAGGCCCATCTGCTTGGGCGCTGGTAATTGCTGACCAGCATCAAACACATTCTTCCAACAGAACACTGCATCTTTCCTCTGCACCACCCTGTGCGTGTTCACTTCTCACCCACTCTTGTCACACCCCCGCTCATGCGCCATTTTCCCACCCACTCCTCGCCTTGGCTCTCCCTGCCCTCGCCCCCCCTTCTTTACAGTGACATGTCAGCCAACCAGTGACAGGGTGACTGCCATTGCCCCTGTCGCCCTACCTGCAGCCAACCTGTTCCCGCCCTACCTACCCTACACCCACCGCAACTTCTTCTTCCACGGGACCGTCATCCCGCCCGAGGCCAACCACACCTACGTTGGCAACGCCTTTGAGCATTGTCTGCTCAACGCATCCCAGGCGCCTGGAGACTACTTGGAGCAGAGGAGTGCAGAGGAGTGTGGTGCGTTCTGTGGGTTTGCTGCTGGGGATTGCCAACCCCTGTGCAGCGGGCATGGCATGTGCTCCTTCAGTGAGTCTGTGCAGGAATCAGTATACACCTGCGATAGCAACTTTGACAACCAGGCCGGACTGCCCTTGTGCTCCTACAGTGGTGTGTATACACAAGTTTTGGGAGAGACTGAGTGATCTGGCGTAAGAAGCAGATGGCACTCTCTTGTTGTGCCCTTTGATTGCGTTGCATACCCTGCTCATTCCTCGTAATTGTTACCATTACAGCTGCATCGCAATTGAAGCCTCTCGAACTCCTGGTGTTGATTTATTTACATCCAAGCATATTTCTTCCGTTCCGTTTGCACCCATCTGCCTTGCCTCGCTCTGGATAACCCTGCAATTCTCCCTTCAACCAAATCATCAGAGACAACAGCAGTCTCCCTGGCAGGTGCAGCAGCGCAACCATTCAATGGCACCATCATCCTCACGCCCCCCACCAGCAACACGTCAGGAGCAGCACAGTGCAGCGCCCATCTGCCTCTTCCTTTTGATCGACAACCCTGGCCTGTGTAGCACGCCCTTTGTGTTCAATGCCTTCTTTAGCTTCGCTAGTCAAGTACATGGGGGGAGAAGGTTTTGTGTCAGTCGTAGGTCACTTTCAGGTCACACTCAGATCGCTCTAGAAACTCTCATAATGAGAGTTTCATATCACTTTCAGGCCACTCTCAGGTCACTCTCAGGTCACTCTCAGGTCAAACTCAGGTCAATTTCAGGTAAATTTCAGGTCAGTCTCGTATCAGTTTCAGGTTGGTCTTAGGTCAAATTCAGGTCAGTCTAAGGTCAAACACGGGTCAGTCTTTTGGTCAGTTTCTGGTCAGTCTCATGTCAGCCTCATATCAGTCTGAGGCCAGTCGTGGGTGCAGGTATGATGCAGGGCCATGCCTTCCACAAACACGAGATACCCACAATCTCCCACACTACCCTTTGTCCTCCCCCACCCTACCGTCAGCAACCAACTGACCTACGTACCATTGGCACTTTAGCCCCAACAAGCCATATTTAGCAGCCACAAGGCCAAGATTGGCACCCAGAACAATGAGCAGGGGACTCTCGATGCTGAACTGGCTCTCATGAGAGGTTAGGTACATTATTAGAAAGTGTGCCCTACTTCTTAGCATTCAGATTCCTCACCTCCCTACCTTTTTTCCTGCCATGATAAACGTACGTTCATGATTTCTTGGCGGTTGAAGGCTGAGTTTGTAGTCATGCTGCAAGGATACATTATGGTTCAAACTACAAATTGTATCAGTAAAGATTTCATTAACCTTGGACTGTGCATGCTCCATCCATTCCACAACACAGTAACTTGCACTGTTCCAAATTAAGATGGTTCACAACCATCTGCAGTGCCTTGTTTGAATTATGTGTTTTCATCTAGAATAGAGAGTAATTAATCAGAAATGTTACAAATTGGTTAGCTTGGAAGATGTCACGCGTGTGAGCACAGTCAGTGACAAATCAGGCTAGGAGATCTAATCGAAGACACCATTTTTCTATGCACAATTCACAAATATCTATCAAGCTTATGGTCGGTACGGTAGCACTTTTTATGAACAGGCTTTATAATCTCAAAACAGCACTAGAAGTCTAGCGCAAGCATCTTGCTCTTGCACAGGTTCTCTAATCCAAAATATCCATCGTGCATGGAGGGAGTGGACGAGACAATGGTGCAGGAGTCCAAAGGCTCAATGCAGGAGCGCATGCATAGAAACCAAGACCATGAGAAACAGCGACTACTTGGAATAAAATGATTGGGAAGAGTGGGGGGTATGAGAGGAGTGGGGTCTATGACATAATTGGGGTGTGTAAACGGAGTTGGGGACATGAGAGGAATTGGGGGTATGGGAGGAGTGGGGAGATGGGTGGAGAGGGGGGTATGAGAGGCATGGCTGGTAATAGAATCGTGGTGGTTATGAGGTGAGTGGGGTGTATGAGAGGAATGGGGGGCATAGAGGTATGGTGGGTATGAGAGGAGTGAGGGGTATGAGAGGAACCGGGTTTATCAGAGGAGTGGAGGTTTGAAAGGAGTGAAGGTTATGAAAAGAGGGGATTTGTGAGGAGTGGGGGATTCAAGAGGAGGCTGGTATGAGAGGAGTGGGGGGTATAAGAGGAGTGAGGAGTAATAGAGGGGGTATGGTAGGAGTTTAGGGGCATGAGAGGAATATAGAGGCATGACAGAAGTGGGGTTTACGAAAGGAGGGAGTTTATGAGAGGAGTGGGGAGTATAATACCGTCATTGCCCGGTAAGTAGACAGTGTTGAATAGTAGACAGGGGTTGTCTATTATCCGGGTGTCTCTTATAGACAAGCTCGCCTCATTATAAGACACCTATTTGTGTGTACGCGTTAAGCCAGTGTAGAGGTTAGGGGCAATCTTATAGCGAGGGGGTATCTTCTAAACAGTTCTTTCTCCATTTATAAGAGTAATAAGACACCCTAAATCGTCCCAAATACAAGACAACCCCAGCATTTTTTCCCGTGTACGAGATAAGACTAGGGATGAGCAAAATCCCGAACGCCTGTTCGGTTCGCCTCGAACATGTTCGAGGCGAACCGAACAGGCATTTTTTTTTGCCTAAATGGTTCGGGCCGAAACATGTTCGGTGTTCGGCCGAACATGTTCGACGTTCGCCCCAGGATTTCGGCTCTCCAAGCCCAACACGAACATGTTCGTGTTCGACTTGGGGGCCACGCGAACACCAAAAATGTTCGCGTCAAAATTGGCCGCGACCATATTTAGGTCGCGGCCAATTTGTGTTTGCGCTCATTTCGTCAGCTCAAACTCAGAAGTCGTTTTCGCCTTAGCGCTCCCTCACACAGCCGCCCTAGCCTCCTTGTTCTAGGTGCAAGCAAGTGCACGCTAATACTTGTAGTGTAAACGGACATTAGATAGATAGATCTATGCATAAGGTTTAACGTAGTGTAGGGAGTTTAGGGTTACTATTAAGGTTCAGCGAGCATCTCCGCAAAGGGCTCAAGTAGGGCGTATCCTACGCCGTAGGATTCGGATCGGGCATTAGGAACGTGCGGCACCATCCAACGCTAACGTTGCAGGAAAGGTGTTTTAGGGTTTAGGGTCGAGGGCGGAGTTATGGCTTCCAGGGCTGGAGTATCCATAGGCCGAGGTGCAGGCAGGGCTCAGGGCAGCGCACTGGGATCTCCACCACGACCTATGCAGGGGCGAGTAGGGGATGGACCGGGAGGAGCCGGCGCGATCTTCGTTGGGGGGTTGCTTACCGTACCGGCGCCGACCTCTCGTCGCTCTTTCCGTTACGACGGCCCTCGACCCCCTCCTTCGGGGCAGACGCCGACGCAGCCGGAGAGCGGCAGTGAGGAGGAGGATGAGGAGGAGGATGGTGAAGGCAAGAAGGAGGAGGACACAGAGGGGAGCGGGGATGACAGCGAGGCGGCGTGGGACCCAGAGACGCATGGCGGTGGAGAGGGGGGAGATGATGATGATGAAGAAGACCACGAGATGGATGGGTTGGAGCCAGAGGGGCGGGAGGAGGAGGTGGGAGAGGGTGGTGGAAGGGCGGCGACAGAGGCGGGATCACAGCATGTGCGTGAAGGGGGAGGGAGCGTGGGGGTTAAGGTGGGGGGGAGAAAGGCCGTGACCGTTAGGGAGCCGAGGCAGAGGAAGAAGGCCAACAAGTTGAGGGAGCGGGCGTATCCTTGCACGTTCACTGGGGAGCCCTTGGGCGAGGGTGTGATCGCTCCCGAGTTCCTGGACGAGGACGGAGGGTCTGAGAGTAGTAAGGGGACTGGCAAGGGTAATAGGAAGCCGGGGTGGCAAGTAATGATATTCGGACCGTTAGGGGCAGACGATAAGCGTCAGTGCAAGATTTGCACAGACAGGATTTTGTGGAAGAAATCCACAACAACCTCCGGCGAGCGGCACTTTGCGAGCTTCCACACTGCGCACATGCATGTGTGGCATCACCGTTACCACACCCCGTCCGTTCACTTGCCAGGGGAGACGTTTCCACGTGGGGGCTACAAGGGAGTGCCGGATGGCTACGTCTATCAGTGGCCACATGCCAAGACTTGGCCGCAGCTCGCTAAGGGGAAAGGGATGGCGACTGGTGGAGGTCATGGGTCAGGCGGGATGGAGCGGTGGATGACAACCAAACTGACCTCGGTGCAGCTACCGCAGGAGATCACGAAGCGAGTAGTCACCTGCGACCTCCCCTTCCGCATCGTCGAGGCCAAGGCCGTAAGTGCCCCATCCCATCCCATGCATGATTGGGCAAGCATGTTGTTAGTGGACGGGTCTGTCCCTTTGTGTTTTGACTGTTTGCGTGTGGCCCAGTGCTATATTATTTTCACCCCATCCCCCTGACGTTTTCTCCTCTCTCCCCCCTTGTCTCTACCCCTCTCCAGTTTCGTGAGCTACTCATCCTGCTAAACCGCAACTGCGCGCAGAAGAACTTCATCCCCTCGCGCTGGACGGTTTCCCGCGATACAGTGGTCTATGCGGCTGCCGCTCTTCAGTCAGCCATTGCGGAGATGCTGGCGAAGGAGGGGGAGCTGGGGTGCAGGGTGTCGTTCACCATCGACATGTGGAGGTCGCACAACAACAGGGCGTGGCTAGTGGTAACGGGTCACTGGATCGACGAGAATTACCAGCTGCGCACAATGGTGTTTGAATTCCGCGAGATTCACGGGCGTCACACGGGCAAGCAGATGGCGAGGGTGGTTGAGGAGACTGTGGTGCAGTGGGGGTTGGAGACGCTTTGTTTTGGGTTCACCTCAGACAACGCCTCCAGCAACACTGCCGCTTTCAGGTGGATGTCGGAGGAGGGTGGTGGCCAGTGCTTCTTCAACTCACGCATGCACTTCCGGTACGAAAGGGAGTGTGCGTGGGATGTGCGATGAGGGAGTCTGGGTGCGTCGTTCCTGTGATGTGAACATTTTGTGGTTGTAGTACAGGCAGGTGGGCCTATGCGGCTTGAGAGTGGTAGTGTTTCTCGGATCTATGCCAATGTGTACTCACACTTCCCTTTCTCTTCGCCATGAATGTTTTGTGATGTGCGCAGATGCCTGGCACACGTGATCAACCTTGCAGTGAAGGCAGCACTCGCTGTGACCGCCATCCGCAAGTTGCTGAAGATTTTGAGAGAGATGGCGTCGTGGATAGGCTTCTCGCCGCAGCGCTCAGGGAAGTTCTTGGGCCTTCAGCGGACCCTGAACGCGCAGGGCAACCCCGCCAAACCGAAGCTGGCATTGAAGCTGGTGCAGAACAGTCCCACACGCTGGGGGTCGACCCACGACATGGTCGAGCGAGCCGGGGTTCTGCAGGAACCCATCTCTGTCTTCTTTGCCCAGACACAGGTGTGTGTGTGTGTGCCACGTGTTGTGTATGTGGTTTTATGTGTTGGTATGCCGGTCGGGGTGTTTTCTTCTGGGACTTGCACCACTGTTGGCCATGCTTGACTAAACTTTTCGGACGTCCAACAACCTCAACCACCCCACTTTCCACCCTAACACCCGCCCACCCATACGTTCTACCCGACAGGGCGTGTCAAAGGCTGACAAGGCAAAGATGGACACCTTGCGCCTAACGGACGCAGACTCGGAGACTCTGCATTCTGTCAAGACCTTTCTCAGCCTATTCGCCAAAGTCTCCATGGCCGCGGAGGGAGCGGCGTACCCTAGAGTGGCGATGGTCCTGCCGTACTACAACGGCCCGATCGACGCTATGGAGTCGCGCCTTGCCAAGGGGCCGTCGGCTACGCTGAAGCCGATGATTGAGGCGGCGCTGGGTCTCTTGAAGAAGTATGAACTGATGTCAAGCAACGAGTTGTGGATCGCGACCTTCCTGGACCCTTCCATGAAGGCGGCGTGGTTCGACGACGCGCACTGGGAGACGCTGCATCCCGATACCGACCGGAGGGCGAGGCCTTGTCCCTCTTCAGGCGAGGTGATCCAGCTGGTTCGCGAACGCGTGGCCGAGTACCAGGCCCGGGCTGCAGCGATTGCCCCTCGGCCAACCCCACTTGCCCCAGTGACGGAGGAGGAGGAGGGAGACGCGACGGATGACGACGAAGACGCCGAGTTTCTCCCTAGTCGCCGACACCTTGCGGCGCGTTTGTCGGTGAGCCAGGAGGCGGGGAGGGGTGGGATGGTGCAGGATGACGAGGTTGGCAAGTACTTATCTGAGAGGGTGCGGTGCGACGTGTCAGCGTTGGAGTATTGGCGCAGCGCCACCAACATGCAGACGCTGAGGCGCATGGCCCGGGATTATCTTGCCATCCCTGCCACGTCCGCGTCGAGCGAGCGCGTGTTCTCCCTCGGCCGCAACCTCATATCCTGGAAGCGGCACCGCCTAGCCTCTCAGAGGACGCGAGCTTCCATGATTCTCAGATCATGGTACACCTCACACCCTGGACAGAGGATAGGCGAGGGCCGCCGTGCAAAAGGTGAGGCACCACCAGAGTTCGCCATTGAAGGCGAGGGGGAGGAGGACGACGACGAGTGGGAGGAGGAGGAGGGGGAGGAGGAGCAGGTGGGGGTGGGTGCTGACGACACCTCTGACGCGGAGCATGCTGTTGTTGGTAGTAGCAGTGGTGTGCAGGCGTAGGATTTAATTTGACAGTGACTTTTATATAGGCAAAACATGATGGTGTCGTATGCTAGTGTGCGTTGCATGAACACATATACACCCTCCACCCCCCTATCTATCTTCCCAACCCTCCAGATTCCTTGTTTGACCAATGTGATTATAATGAAAGTGCCCACAGGCTAACTCGAACATGTTAGGTTCGAACATGTTCGAGTTCGCCCACACATACCAAATGTTCGCCCCCAAGGGCGAACGGCGAACACCTCCTGAACCCTAAATTGTTCGCCGAACCGAACCATGTTCGGTTCGGTAAATGTTGATGTTCGAGCGAACTCGAACACTTCGCCCTTTGCTCATCCCTAGATAAGACATATATGTCTACTATCCGGGCGATGACGGTAGGAGTTGGGGTTGGGGAATGGTATGGGTGGGGGGTAAGAGTGGATAGGGGGGTGTGAGAGAAGTGGTGGGTATGAGAGGAGTGGTGGGTATGAGAGGAGTGGTGGGTATGAAATGAGTGCTGGTGTGAGAGGAGAGGCGGCATGTGAGTGGGGAGAGGGATAGGGGATATACAGAGGAATGTTTAGCTTTTCAAGCTTCATGTTTGAAGAGCGATATTCTGTTTAAAATCCCCAAAACAACCCTATACGTGAATCTAATTCACAATCCAGAAAATCATGCATGCAACAGCTAAAAGTTTCAGGAAGAAGGTGACAAGCATAAAATCTGGCCCATGGACAAGCCGAAGCTACAGTGTACTACACAGCCCAATTTTCCTGTCCCATTTTTGTGCTCATCAAAAGATGCTACCAGTATCCCTTCCACAGCCTCTGTTAGTGTTCCTAAGTGTCCCATACCATGTTTTCATATGAAGCAAACAATTGGCATCAGAAGCACAAGGTAAACCAGTAAGCTGCATGTGAGAACAAACTTGATTACGTGGAGGAGCCACTTGGCATGCCCCCCTCGCGCTCCGCACGGGCCATTTCAGCAGTGAAGCTGGAGGAGCCAATGGAGCTCCCAAGCTCCATGTCAATGCGAGATTTGGCCTCGCCCACATGACACTCATGTGCTCCGGACGCCTCCTGCTTCAACTTCACCAGCTCCCAAAGCACTTGATTCATGGAGGGGCGGGAGGCTGTAGGCATGGCGGTGCAGGAGAGGGCAAGGCGAGCCCAGCGCAGCACCAAGTCATCTGGTGCGTCCAAGTGAGGGTCCTTGAATGCCAATACAGCACCGGAGTCCACCAACGGGGCCACCTGCGAGGTTAAATGCATACATCACATGGAATTTGGTGATACAAAATGTTCACAGAGTTTCACATTAAAATAAAACCTGTGAAGAATGGTAGAAATGTGGCAACGCAGAGATTGATGGAATGATGTATGATCATAGGAAATTAGTGCTACATAGAAAGCAGGATAATAGGAAGGTGAATCCTATTATAGATACAAGGTGTGATTCAAAGGTAAGTGCTCGTCTTAATCATTGCAGCATGTATCCTGTTGGGAATGGAGGTAAGGAGAACATGAATTGGCCTACAAATGTTTGGCTAAGGGCAACAAGGAAACATTGATATTATCAAGCAAACTCACTACGCAGTGCAGCTGGCTTTCTCATACGTTGTGTTACAAGATCTGCCATCCTTGGCATGATACACTTCTGTCTCTCACCCATTGTTTGAGATTGATCTGGTTTTCCTCTGTTACATGCACAGCCTTGCGCGCCGTGATAACCACCAGCGTCACCACGCCAAAACTGCAACCCATCAATAAACAAATGCATCATACTTGAAATTGCGCTCAGATGTACAAAAGCTTTATGGTCACAATGGGATTTGTTTCCCAATCATTCCACAAGTGATCGTTACGCAAGCCCCATCACCAAGCATCACCAAGCTACTTGATTGGTAAGAACGCCTGGAAATGGCTTCAATGTCAGGCATGGACCTTCTTTGGGTGTGGGGCAAAGGAAACATAGAAATCACTGCAAGCCCGAAACCCAAACCCTATCTTCCCTAGAAGAAATGAAACTCATGAGCATTTCTCATCAAATTTGGAAGCCTCCTTGAACAGTATTCTCATGCCAAAGTGCTCATCTGCTAACCTTCACTGTTTTCTCATGCCATTATAACTTGCATGGATTTGCTAGCATAACCTACTCTGCTCACCTGTGCCAATCTGCTCTAGGGATGAGCAAAGGGCAAACCCGAACATGTTCGTCTTCGCCCCTTGTCGAACACCCTCTTTTGCCGAACCGAACACTGTTCGGTTCGGCGAACAGTTTAGGAAAAAACAGGTGTTCGCTGTTCGCCTTTGCAGGCATGTTCGGGCGAACCTCGAACACTGTTCGTGTTCGTCGCGGGCAAATTTCAGCAGCTGCCAATCTGCTCACCTGTGCCAATCTGCTCACCTGTGCCAATCTGCTCACCTGTGCACATCTGCTGCTGGAGTGGCCTTATGAGACTTGAAATACGCAGGGTCCACATAGCCCGGTGTTCCCATCACTCGAGTGGCAGCCACAGACGTGCCCATAGCAGTGCCCCCACCAAGCTTCACAAGCCCAAAGTCTGCAATCTTGGCCTGCCCATGGACAACAAGAGCATTGATGTGAAAGATTCAGAGCATGCGAGGCGATGCAAAACACCACATGATAGTTGCTAAGGGATGGATACGAGTAGGCATCTTTGACCATGTACAGCAAGGCCTACCACAATATTGACATGCCTGCATCTTTGCATCAAGGAGAATGTTGGCAGGTTTGATGTCGCGATGCACAATGCCGAAGTCATGAAGATACTGCAACCCCTTTGCCACTCCAATCAGAACGTCAAGCCTTTGACGAAGCGAAAGAGGATGGGAGACACCAGAACCAATCCAGCTCTCAAGGTCGTGGTTGGGCATGAACTCGTAAACGAGGATCTGCTCCATGAGTCGTGTGGAGAGGTCGAAGTCGATGCAATAGCCCAACAGACGCACAAGATGCGGATGGTGCTTGCTTGCCATCTCCTTCACCTGAGAGGGAAAACAGTCAACATATCAAAGGAGATTGAATAATCAGACCACCAGCTATGGTTGGGGTTGGCAGAAGAAACTAATGAGAAACGTGCCACTAACATATCAACAAAAACTCAAACCATGGTACCTCTCTTTGGAAGTCGTTCGTGAGCACTCGAGCTCGCTTGACTGCCCAGGCTTGATTGCAATCGTGGGGTGACACACCCTTGTAAACATCCCCAAAGCTACCACTTCCTATCCTGTTCCCCTCTGCCCAATCTCCTGTGGCCTTAGACATCTCTGCCAAAGAGTACTCTCGACACACGTATGGCCGTGCTGCCTCCATCTCCACCACAAAATCATCACCCTGCATCCCTTGTCCTGCTGGTAATGGTAGCGCTGCTGCGGCAGCTGCTGCAGCTGCTGCGGCCTCCCCTTCCGCTGCTGCTGGGTCCTCATCCTCATTATTTGGTACTGCAAAGAGATGTAAAAGATTGTGAACGTGAAAGAGAAGACCAATAATTCAAGGGGCCTGGGAATTTAAACCACCTACTCTGGATTGCTAATGACCCAGGAAGGACCAACAAGCACCATTGTTTCATTCGTTGATTCCTGACAATTCGAGGTTAAGGCTGGATGAATTTCTACAAGAAGGTGAATTCAGTCACATCCATGGTGAACAGTTTCGCCAACTTTTTGTACTGCCATCTCAACACCATACCTGTGGCTGTGTGATACCTGGCAATGAACCCCAGTCCAGATATCCAGCTTAAATTTTGATCGTTCAACTCGAACCAATCCTGCCCAGTTCGACCCAGACCCATTATTCCGAACTTGGGACTAGGCGATTCACATTCTGCAAAATAAAAATAAAAAAAATCAGCCAGTCTGGTTGTCTCATTTCCTCATGACTATTTCGCATAGAGCAGCAGGCAAAAGACAGTGCCATTACATGCAATTTTGTGGGGTTTTGCGTTGCAACCCAAAAATAAGGTTCGGACCAGTGATTCTGAGTCTTTAACCCAAAACTCATGAGTCAGACCCAACCAAGAAGACGGCTTGACATCTGGGAGTACCTGGAATGTTCCATGGTGAGAAATTGCACATGCATTTGTAGCTTTTACTCTTGGATTTTTTCATGATCTTCTGATTTTGATGATACTCTGATTTTCTTTCGATTGCCTGGCGTTTGCCTTGTTATTGCTTCATCTAGGCTCAGCATCTACGTAAATATCTTACCTTGAAACAAAATGTTATTTATTGATTTCTTGCCATCCACATTGGTGCTAGTATTGTCTCCTCCTGCTGCCCCTTTGGTGCGGTATCGCTTCCACAGAAGCCAGGTCAGCAGCACCAGCAGCACGAGGACAGCCACAGTGCCAGCAGCAGCAATGCCAGCAATGGCTCCGCTGGATAAACCGCCTCCAGTTTGGGAGAGAGAGGCTGTAGGCTCACTGGGAGATGACGTTGGAGGAGGTGGAGAGGGGTTTGGCACTGGCGATGGGGAGGGTACAGTTATGGGGTAGAAAGACAGAGAGAGGAAAGGGAAAAGGCAATCAAACATGAGGATGGGGGTTGGCTTGGTGAAAGTGGATGTGGCGTCAGGCACAGTTTGCATGGGGGGAGGAAGCAAAGGAAGGCAATGAAGGATAGAAACACGTATTCTTCAGTAAAAGCCATGAGGATGCATACAACAGAAGCACATATTGAGGAGTAGCGAAGCTGTAATTGTTACCGCACCTGACAGTGGAAAAGCTAGCTAAGTAGGTGGCTATGCACTGTTCATCCTCTTAGCGCTAATGAGAGCAAAGCAACAATGGGCTGTGAAAGTAGGAGCCACCTGCATAAGGTTGGCCTTACCTGGTGGTGGCTTGTCACATGTGGTGCAGAAGGAGCCGCACTTGCTGCAGAAAGCACTTGAATTGGTCTGTGGGACCACGCAGCTGCTGTAGTCAGGTGGGCATGTGATTGCAGTCGAGGATATGTTCCTGCATGCGAAATGAGTTCTCGAACGGAGCATGTGACCGCAGCTGCATATGGAGTGTTTTCAAACTATGGATCGGGAATGGGTTTCAGCTCTAACTAAAGCGCTTTGAGGTTGCTATTTGAGATTTATGGTAACACGTTGTAATACTTTACCATGCGAAGTAGACATGAGCACAAGGGCGAACACTTGATTGTTTCTGGCCCAGCATGTTCAGGGCGAACATGTTTGTGTTTGCCTTGTGTTTAGGGCGTTTAGGGAAGAAACCAGCTGGGAATATAAACTTGCTGAAACCGCCGCCCATATCATAAATAGTAGCCCATTCTACACATCCTGGGCTAGTGCACGGATGTTGAAAAGTTGAGCTTGAATATGCACATCCTGGGCTAGTGAACATGTTCGGGGCGAACTTGAAGGTGACGTGTTTGCCTTGCATCGAACACACATGTTCAGCGTACCGAACATGTTTGTGTTCGCCCGAACACTTCCAGGGAGGAAGGTGGAGGAAGGTGTTCGGGTGTTCCCCTTTGGGAGGTGAACACCTTGATGTTTGCCCAAAAACGAGCATGTTTGGGGCGAACATGTTCGTGTTGGCCATATCAGCAGTCTTCAAGACACATAATCCTGGATGGTGGATTTTGGCATCCAGGTTGGTGTGGCTATACTTGGTGGACGTTTGGGAGTGAAGGAAATAAAACAAGTAGATTTTTGTTCCACCACAACTATTTCATTAGAGTCTAGGTACCCTAGCTGCTGGAGCTTGCAGTCTAGGCTGTGGAAGGAGGGTTGGCAAAAAAGGCAAGCTAAAAAATGAGCTTGATTAGTGTGTTTCATCAACCTTCTTTAACGAGCAGATTTGCGTTCGTCGGAAAGGGATGTCGAAACGAACACGAACATATTCGGCCTGAACACGTTGAGCCACAAAAACAAAACATGTTCGAGGCGCACCGAGCAGCAGGTGCTTGCCCTCGTGTTTGTGTCAAACATGTATCCTGTGTATGTCTAATTACATATACCCAGTGTACATAGAACTACTGCAGACATTAAGGCTTGGTCATACTAGATATAGGGTGTTCCTCGAGTAAATTTTATCAACAGCTAGGTACCCCAGTTAAGCACGTTTCTCAACCTTGAGTTCGCGGGTCCAGCCTGGACCCACGAAGTCCAACATTGGAAACGCGCTTTCGCAAACTTTGTTACCCACATCCCTTTCTTGACTGTGGGTGAGTTGAGCATCCATTTGGCACCCCAAGTCCATTGGGGAACAGTTTCTTCACTTGGACCAGCCCAAGTCGCCTCCAAGCTAGCCCTCTTTGAATTCAATCAATTGGTTCATGTTTTGCTTGTATCTGCTTGCCTTGCTTTGGTAACGCGACATATTTCTCAAGCATTTCTACAATGCTAGAGTGCCTTACAGCCTTGAGAGAAGTTCGAGGTTGCCTATTGTTGGAGGGAGTTGGCCCGTGAGGTTGTTCTGGCTGACGTCACTGCAATGGATGGAAACAGATAAAAGACAGAATAGAAACAGTCAAAGCATTGCTAAAAAGATACCTAACCGTGCATACATGCAAGAGATTTTACCTGTACAGGGATGGAAACACAAAGGAATAAACCAAAGATTGGTTGATGTTAGGAGACAGTCAGAGGAGATGGAAAAGCCGTGGATTGTGGCAGGGGACGCATATCTTATTAGGCTATTCCAGGTCAACATGGTTAAGTTGCAATAGAGATTTTTGTTCACCCAACGTGACAGAGTCCAGTCAAGCATGAGATGCATAACCTGCTTCATGTGAGATATTTCCCAACCAGGCAAAACACATTCCAAAATCAACATAGGATGTTTGTTGGGCGGAAGAAGGTTAAGCCAAAGAATTCACAATTCGGCACTAGGTTTTATATATACCTCCAACCTATAGTCAGTGCAAGATCTCTCAATGAGCTCAAGCGACCCGACATTGTGTTACACACTGCATGCATTATGAGTTCCTTACGGTGTCCTGAGGCATGGCTGAAAACCATGCTCACGTAAACCTGGGAAAGAGTGATGTTGAAGTATCAAAGCAAGAGTGCATAAAGGCACAAACCACTTGTTAGGCTGCTCATGCTTGCATTGCAGCCCCTCTCATTAGTCATAGCCAAGGGCAGGCCCCAGTTCACCCTTAAAACTGATAAACTAAGGGGTGAATCCACGTTTTGAACAAGCCTAGGATCAAGCTAGTCAACCCCGCGTTAGGAAGATTATGACAACTACAATAAGTCCTGCTGGGTTCTGGTCTTCAGTAAAATCCTGTTCCCGTTCGACCGAGACCCACAATACCCGACTCATGAGTCGCGTTGGACACATGTGGGTTACGGTTTGAATAAGTCGAAGCTGTTTACTCTTCAATGCAGATGCATTTTCTGGACTCTCCCTTTCTGGGATAGGTACAACGTGGGTCAGACATGCTTATGAGTCGAGTCGATTCAAGTCACTTTGAGTGGAAGTCGAGTTGGGAGTTGTGTCAAGTTGAGCAAAGACCAGACGTTTTCTTAACTGCCAGCTCTGGGCCTCATATTTATGAGCATGTGAGCGGTCATGTTGGCTCTCTTTATGATCTCTTGATGTTACTCGCAAGTCTCTGAGGTTTGTCATGTTGCGGATGGTGGATGGAATGGACCCAGTCAGCGCATTGTGGTTGTGATACCTTATGGTGAAACATGCGAAGGGTTTTACGAGTGGTAAGATTACACATAAGGGCTTCAAATGTGTTAAAAAAAGATACAGCGAAACACTAGTTACCAAGCACATGGGAAGGTGCCATGAAATTCAATCAAGAATAACAAATGAATCAACTGAATAGTAGGAGAGGGAGGATTGATATCAAACAACAAGGACTAAAGAACTCATGACATGGTGAAATATGATTGTGATACAAGCTACCTACTCTAAACGGTGCCTGATAAACAGGTGCTAAACGTTACCATCGACTATATAGCACAGTGAGCAAGAAGTAGCCCTTTCAAAAAGAAAAGCGAATGAAAACAATGGGCAATTATTTGAGCCTCACACAAACATGCAAATATGTAGACATTGAGAAGCAACACAAAGGGATACACATTACAAAACGTCAGTGGTGGTGGAAATGCATATCAGGACACGAGAATGAGTTGAAACTTGTGAGCGTGTACATTGGTCATGCCTAGCATGTATGCTCGTTCTCAAATCAAGTTGACTTGGTGTTGCCATTGCAGGCCCTCTGTGCGAGGCTATGTTGGCTCTCTTTCCTATTCCCTTCATAATACTCACAACCAATAGAGGTTTCTCATGTTGCCGATGGCAGATGGAATAGACCCACTCAGGGAATTGCGGAAAAGAATCCTGATGATACAACATACAAAAGGGTTTATGGGTGGAAAGAAACATTGAATACAGCAAGAAAATATTCATAGTGAAAAACAGCACACTACATATACAGTGCTGCAAGAAACAGCCCTTTTAACAAGTGAAAACAACGGGCAATGATTTGAGCCTCACACAAACGTGAAAATATGTGGACATTCGGAAGCAACACGAAGGGATAAACATTACAAAATGTTAGTGGTGGTGGAAATGCATAGCAGGACACGAGAATGAGTTGAAACTTGTGAGCGTGCACACTGCTTAGCGTATACATGGGCAAACGAGTCGAGTTTTTCCTCGACTTGTTCGAGGGACTCGAAAAGCTCGAGTTTCAAGTTTGTTTTTTTGTAAAAAAAACTCGGTTGCTCGAGTCGAGTTTTGCTCGCGAGTTAAGAAAACTCGTGAAAAACTCGGCTACCAAGCAAGTTTTTTCAAAACTCGCAAGTTTTTGGGGCTCGTAAGCATTTTGCCACCAGAACCGCCCGCGCCTAGCATTCCGCCACTAGATCCGCCCGCACCTAGCATTCCGCCGCCAGATCCGGCCGCCCCTAGCATTCCGCCGCCAGATCCGGCCGCACCTAGCATTCCGCCTCCAGATCCGCCCGCACATAGCATTCCGCCACTAGATCCGCCCGCACCTAGCACTCTGCCGCCAGATCTGAACGCACATAGCATTCCGCCGCTAGATCCGCCCGCACCTAGCATTCTGCCGCCAGATCCGCCCGCACATAGCATTCCGCCGCTAGATCCGTCCGCACCTAGCATTCCGCCGCCATATCTGCCCGCACCTAGCATTCCGCCGCTAGATCCGCGCGGCATTTCCTTTCACTAAACTGGTTTCGTGGGGTGGTGGGTAAGGGGGGTGTTTAACAACGAGTCGAGTTTTACTTGACTCGGACGAGTTTTCTTTGAACTCGTCCGAGTGTTGAAAAAACTCGGTAAAATGGTCTAGTTTCGAGTTTGCTTTGTGGCACAAAAAACTTGGCGAGTTTTCCTCGACTCGACTCGTGTGTGACAAAAAACTCGTCAAAACGAGTCAAGTAAAACTCGACTCGTCTTTTGCCCATGTATAGCTTAGCGGAGCGTGGTGGTGTGCCAATTGTGCACACAGACACTTGTAAACACCAACAACACTTCCATATCCAAGACCATGTTGGTGAAGAAGTGCACGGCAATGCTCTCGTGTACAAAGTGGTCGAAATGGTTCAATATGATTCTGATCACCAAGCAGCTTACAAAATGGTTGAGTTATTCCGACTCATACTGAAGAGAAGGGATCGCGGCCTGTGACGTACCTTGTTGCTACTTGACAGGCAACCATGACCAATGATCCTCTTCATCAATCACAAGCCAGGGGTCCAAGACGGTGATGAACCCAAGCCAACTTTCTTGCTCTGCTGGCTGTACTCAAGTGGAACTGTGCTGTCTTAATGATCCAAGAACTTGCTTGCTTAACTTGCGCCGACAAGCATACTATCAACTCTTTGAGAAGCCTTGTCATGCTCGACGTAAAATGAAATAATAATATCAAATACACTTATGAACAGATGGTTGTTAGTTACCATGAATTGTCCATTTGAGTTCCAATCGTATACGACCTTCATCTTCTTGCTTGTTTTTACCTCAAAGCCACAGGAAGGAGCACTACATATGGATATGGCAAGAAGAAGCTTTACATTTCATGTGAATGTGGCAGTAAATTCCACGTACATCTAACAGCAAACTGGCATACCCATGGGGGTTTGAGGGGCAGTTTTTTTTTTTTAATCCGAGACATGATTTGTGTATGATGGAACTAATAGACGCTTTACCTGGTAAGATTGTGCCTTTGATCGTCACTCCCAGCTTGATTTCAAAGGTTCCCACTCTTGTCATCCTCCCATGTATGGAATAACCATCCTCGCCCATGTAACTTGTCGCCTGAATGTTGCAGGACCAGATTTCGAGGCTAATGAGGAGATATCGGCTGCGGAAGAACCTGGTACCCACGAGGTTACCAATGTGAGTGGCGGGCTGGACAGCTGACATAATGACGCTGTTGGGAGAGATCTCCTGCTCCGCCAATGTTGGTCACCGCCGTGCACCGTCTCCATCCCTAGCCCTGGAGTCAAAAGTGCACAGTGGTTCAGCCATATGTGCCAAAGTGTACCTGGATAGAGGACATTGAAATCCCCCCAGTGTCACCGGCGGTCCTCCCCTGCTCGGCTGTCATACAGCGCTGTGAAATGGTGGGTCTGGCTGCAAGTAGAACGTAGGTTTGCCAATCAGGCCGACCCTACACCTGCCTGCCGTACCAGCAGCCGTAATCTCCCCACGAATTCCACCCCGAATGGATCTCGAGTCAAATATGTGCTGGTGCATATGCTCCCTCCTCACACGAAGCTTCCTATGGGACCATCACGAGTTATGAACCTCGGCAATGGGCTTCCATTCTTCCTGCCACAGATCTGCACACTCGACCCACTGCTGCCACCTCCCTTGGTCCCGGACGCACCTGTCTCTCCTGGGTGAACTTTCCCCTGTCCACATTTCCTCCTAGGATACAGCCACCGCCACTGGTGCCATGCCAGCCTCCTTGTGGATGGGCAGGCTGAAGCTATAGCGGAGAGGATGGAGCTTGTGGCTATCGCAGGCTTAGGAGGAGGCCAGTGTCAGAATGCTATATAGCTTATACATTTGTGTAGGCTATAGTGGGGTATCCCATAGGGGGTACAACACAATTAGGGTTAGTACTTGTACTCACTCATTTCATAGTTGATTCATTCTCGTTTGACTTTCCTCATGGTATCGAGCAGGTTCCCCCGTGGGAACTGTGCCTAGGGCCCACCATATTGAGAATTAATTTTTTCCTGCCCGAAGCGCGCTCCCCCCCCCCCCCCTTGAGTCGCGCCTCGGGCTTTCACCTCGTCGAGCCGCCCTAGTGGCCACTACGCCCTAGCGGCCCTCCCTCTCCTGCGGCCCCGCCGCCCTACGTCGCGGCCCCGCCGCCCTACGTCGCGGCCCCGCCGCCCTACTCCTGCGGCCCCGCCGCCCTACGTCGCGGCCCCGCCGCCTTTCTCGGCGGCCCCGCCGCCTTGCTCCTGTGGCCCCGCCGCCCTACGTCGCGGCCCCGCCGCCCTACTCGTGCGGCCCCGCTGCCCTACGTCGCGGCCCCGTCGCCTTTCTCGACGGCCCCGCCGCCTTGCTCCTGCGGCCCCGCCGCCCTACGTCGCGGCCCCGCCGCCCTAAGTCGCAACCCCGCCGCCCTACATCAACGGCCCCGCCGCCCTACCCCACCGGCCCCGCCGCCCTACGTTGCGGCCCCGCTGCCCTACGTCGCGGCCCCGCCGCCCTACGTCGCGGCCCCGCCGCCCTACTCCTGCGGCCCCGCCCGCCGTCCTATCGAAGCGGCCCCGCCGCCTCCTGCTCCTGCCGCGCCGCCCTAGAGCGGCACTACCGAGCCGCCCAGCAGAAGAGGAGCCGAGCCGCCCTGCTACCGAGTCGCACTGCAGCCGAGCCGCCCGGCCGCCCACCAGTCGAGCCGCCGTGCAGCCGAGCCACATAGCAGCCGAGCCGCCGAGCCGCCCTAGCAGCCGAGCCGCCGAGCCGCCGAGCCGCCCTGCAGCCGAGCCGCCCGAGCAGCCTTGTCCGGTGAGCACAACCCCTTTGTCACTGCGTGCCCTCACCCTACTGTTTGCACTGCTAGGCATCTGTCGTCATGGCTACCCCTAGTGTCCTCACTTTTTACGCCGAGGGTAGGGCCATTGACTTTGAGGTCTGGGTAGACGACCTGCAGCTGTTCTTACAATGCGATAGGGCAGACGGCCTCTCTCTCTTTGACCTTACCTCTGGCGCTTCCCCTGCCCCTGCTGCTGATGCTGACGCCACTGTTTGCTCCCAGTGGGCCACGTGCGACGCTGCTGCACGCTGTGCGTCGCCACCTCCATACCTCCGAGCGTGCGCACTTTAGTCAGTACAAGAGTGCTCAGACCTTGTACGACGCTGTAGTTGCGCGCTACTCCTCCCCTGCCACTGCTGCACTCAGCCGTCTCATGCTACCGTACCTCTTCCCTGACCTTGCTGCTTTTCCCACCGTGGCAAACCTCATTACGCACCTCCGCACTAGTGACACTCGCTACCGCGCTGCACTCCCCGCTGACTTCTGCGCCACGAACCCCCCCCCATGTACATCACTCTGTACTTCCTAGTCACTCGCCTTCCTGACTCCCTTCGAGTAGTCAGGGACCACTTTCTCTCAGTCTGTCCCACCACACTCAATGTCGACCTCCTCAAGAAGACCCTCTTAGCAGCGGAGAAGAGTATAGTCGCTGTAGGAGCCTCTCAAGGTGACCTGCGCACCCCCATCTTTGAGGGGTGTTCTCCCTCCCCCCTGCTGCCCTCTGTTGCCTCTGCTGCTACGGCCGACCTCCTTGGTCTTGAGTCGGTCGGTGCGGCGTCTGCCCCTAGCAGGAGACGCCGCCCTGGCAAGGGCAAGGGGGGCAAGGGAGCTGGAGGAGCGGGCGGTGGAGGTGGAGGTGGAGGCGGTGGGGGTAGTGGGGGTGGCGGTGGGAGTGGAGGTGGGGGTGGGGGGGTCGGTGGCGGCAGTGGAGGCGAAGGCGGCGGCGGCGGTGGCGGTGGGAGCGGAGGTGGCGGAGGAGGCGGCGGTGGAGGCAGCGGCGGAGGCGGCGGCAGTAGCGGAGGCGGCGGAGGCGGTAGGGGTGGCGGTGGAGCTGGTCGCGGGTCTTCGCAGAGGAGTGGCTCCGGTGGTGGCTCACGCCAGCAGCAGCAGCGCGGTCGTGAGACCCTGTCCCCTCAGCAGCTCTGTGAGTGGTACACTGCACGCCAGCGGGGTGGGGATTTTGGTCCGTGCACCTACGTCCTGCGCACCGGCGACCGTGCGGGTGAGCAGTGTGGGGGCCCGCACTCCACCCAGCGCTGCTTTGGCCGCCTGACGGACGCGTGGCGTCACCAAATCCCGGAGGCCTCAGAGATTCCTCGCTGGGGCGAGCTGTCTAGGGCGGGTGTTGTCATCTTTGATGACTTTGATGCTATTCTCTCTCTCATGTATGTTGTGTCTAATAGTGATGAGGGTGACTGCTACCGCTGTTTCCCGCCCGATCCGGGCATTGAGGCTGCTGCCCTAGGTGCTTGCGACGCTGCTGCTCTAGGTGCTAGTGTGTCTGCGTCCTCAGGTACTGGTGAGTCTGCGCTCTCAGGTACTACGTCGGCTTCGGCCTCCCTCACCTTCACCCTTGACTCTTGGGCGTCTCGCTCCTTCTCTCGGACCGCACCACACTCACGCCGCTCAGTCGGCCGGTTGCGATGTCTCTGGCTGACCCCTCCGAGGGTCCTGTACTGTCTCGCTTCTCCACAGTCCTCCCGTGTCCAGCGTCTCCCTCTGGCACCCTGTCTGGTCTTTACCTCCCCTCGTTCTCGACGAACCTGGTGAGTGGTGCTGACCTACAGGATGCAGGTGTCCACCAGTTCACTCCTGCGCGTCACCGAGGGACACACTGCACGGAGGCTAGCACAGGCCGACACCTGGCTACGTTCACCCGTCAGCCGGGGTCGAGCCTGTACACTCTGACCACTGCGTCTCCTCCAGTTGCTGAGTCTGGTAGGGTAGCTGCGTCGGGTCAGATGTTTGCTGCGACGTCCTGGTCTGGTCCTGAGTCTGCCCCCTGTTCGTGTCGTCTCCTGTCTTACGAGACTCTCCTCTGGCACCACCGCCTTGGCCACCCCTCTCTGCTTCAGCTCAGAGGCATGGCCTCTCATCTTCTTGTATTTGGTCTCCCCCGGTCCCTCCCTCCCCTTCCTCAGGGCCCTGGCCCTGCCTGTGTCCCATGTGTCAAGGGGCGCCAGCGTGCTGCCCCTCACTCCTCCCTGTTTCCTTCGACACAGGCCCCGTTGCAGACGCTTCACATGGACGTGTGGGGCCCAGCCCGCGTCTGTAGACAGAGTCACGAGCGCTACTTCTTGCTCGTTGTTGACGACTACTCGCGTTACACCACAGTCTTCCCCTTGCGCACCAAGGGTGGTGTCACTGAGGTACTGATCGATTGGATCTGCGCAGCTCGTCTCCAGCTCAGGCAGAGCTTTGGCTCGGACTTCCCTGTTGTGCGTCTGCACTTGGACAGAGGGGGAGAGTTCTCCTCTGGCCTTCTGCGAGCCTACTGTCGTGCACGAGGCATCCGTCAGACTTACACGCTTCCGGACTCACCGCAGCAAAATGGGATTGCTGAACGCCGCATTGGCATGGTCATGGACGTCGCTCGTACGTCTATGAAGCATGCGGCTGCCCCCCATTTTCTGTGGCCGTTTGCGATGAGCTACGCGGCGCATCAGATCAACCTCCACCCCAGAGTCTCCAGGCCGGAGACCTCCCCAGCCTTGCTGTGGACGGGGAAGGTTGGCGATGCGTGAGCGTTCCGGGTCAGGGGATCTAGGGCGTTTGTCCGCGACTTGCCTGCGGACAAGCTGTCCCCTCGTGCTGCTCCTTGCGTCTTCCTGGGGTTCCCCCCTGACACGCCTGAGTGGCAGTTCTACCACCCTACCTCTCGCCGTGTTCTGTCCTCCCAGGACGTCACGTTTGACGAGTCGGTCCCCTACTACCGCCTCTTCCCCTACCGCACTCCGTCCCTCCCCCCACCCCCACTCTTCCTTATACCAGGTCCCCCCCAGGTAGACCCCCTTCCCCCTCAGGGTCTTGCCCCTTCAGGTGTGTCCCACGTAGACGCAGTCAAGCCTGTCGAGGTCACTGGTGACTCTGGTGCTGCTAGGGGTGCTGAGCCTGGGGGTGCTGGACCTAGGGGTACGGAGTCTGGTGGTGCTGAGCCTCGGGGTGCTGCGTCTTGGGGTGCTGAGCCTGGGGGTGCTGAGCTTGGGGGTGCTGCGTCTGGGGGTGCTGAGACTGGGGGTGCTGAGCCTCGAGGTGCTGCGTCTTGGGGTGCTGAGCCTGGGGGTGCTACGCCTGGGGGTGCTGAGCGTGGAGGTGCTCCGCCTGGAGGTTCTCCGGGTGCTTCTTCTGGCCGGGAGCCACTCTCTCCACAGGAGCTGCGCGAGTGGTTTGACCGGCGCTGGCGCCGTTTTGCTGGTGCTGGAGGTTCTTCGGTTGCTGAGGGTGCTGCGGTCGCGGGTCCCGGAGGTGCTCGTATTGAGAGTACTGGAGCTGCTGGGCCTGCGAATTCGACTAGAGCTGGTGCTGCTGAGGGTATTGGTGCTGAGACTACTACTGGCGGTCCTGCTGGGGGTGCTCCTGGTGCTGCTGGAGGTTCTCGAGCTGCTGGAGGTTCTGCTGGGGCGGTTGCTCCTGCTGAGGGTACTGGTGCTGTCCCTGCTGCTTCTGGCGTTGCCACGCGGCCTCGACCGTACTTTGTTCGACTCTTGCAGCAGGTTCTTGGTCTTCCACTCCACTGGTCCGCCTCCTACCTTAGAGTGTCCACAGCTTGCCCCGTCACAGTCACAGCTACAGCCTGCCTCCCTTTTGCCGACTCTTTCTCCCTACGCTGGTCCTACTGGAGGTCTTACTGAGCGTCGTGAGCTTGCGTCTCGTCCTGCGTCGCCTGTTCGTGCTGCTCGCGCTAGTGGTCGCGGTCCTTGCCAGCGTCCTCTTCCTGTCCCTGGCATGCAACGGATGTCTCTGCGTCTGCTACTGCTCCTCTGCGTGCCCCTTTGCCTTCCGCTCCTGAGTCCTCTCTTCCCGCTCTTGCCGACCCTGAGTCGGACTCTCTTCGTGCTGCCAGTCCTGCTGTCACGCGTCTCTTTGCTACTGTTGTCACTGACCCTTCCTTCGAGTCTACTGTTGCGTCTGCCCTAGTTGCTGATCTCGTCGACTAGGCTGCTCACTGTCGCGTACACTACGTTCCTAGTCTTGTCGCTGAGTCTGAGTCTGTCTGTCCTCCGTCCGTCGGGGGTGAGTCTGCTCTTGGCACGGACGTCCTTGAGGACAGGCAGGAGGAGTTCCAGTGTCTGGCGGCTGCTTCACCTCATCTCGTGTCCATAGTGCTTACCTCTGAGGGAGACCCGGATGCACTTGACATCCCGACTCCGCGCTCTTACACGGAGGCGATAGAGGGTCCTTACTCCTCTCAGTGGCAGGCAGCTATGGATGCAGAGATGGCTTCCTGGAAGTCCACAGGCACCTACGTTGACGGTGTCCCCCCTCCTGAAGCGCACATCGTCAGTGGCATGTGGATCTTCAGGGTGAAACGGCCGCCGGTTTCTCCACCTGTCTTCGAGGCGCGTTACGTGGCTCGTGGTTTCAGCCAGCGGTAGGGAGTTTACTACTTTCAGACCTTCTCCTTCACCCCGAAGATGACCACTCTTCGGGTACTGCTGCACGTTGCTGCTCACCGTGACTACGAGCTGCACTCTCTTGACTTCAGCACAGCTTTCTTGCAGGGCAGCCTTCACGAGGAGATCTGGCTGCGTCGCCCACCTGGCTTCACTGGGTCTTTCCTTCCTGGTACCAAGTGGAGTCTCCGGCGTCCAGTCTACGGTCTCCGCCAGGCGCCCCGTGAGTGGCACGACACACTGAAAACTACGCTTGCGGCTCTTGGGTTTGCTCATTCTACTGCCAACCTGTCGCTGTTTCTGCACACCGACACCTCTCTGCCGCCGTTCTACATCCTCGTGTACGTCGACGACTTGGTCTTTGCCACAGCTGACAGTGCTGAACTCGCCTACGTGAAGTCCGAGCTGCAGAAGAGACACACGTGCACAGACCTGGGTGAACTGCGCAGCTAACTTGGCTTGCAGATCGCCCGGGACAGAGCACGCCGCACCATTACCCTGACTCAGTCACACATGGTGCAGCAGGTTCTTCAGCGCTTCGGCTTCACGTACTCCTCGCCTCAGGCCACTCCTCTGTCTACTCGCCACTCGCTCTCAGCTCTCCATTCGGATGAGTCCGTAGAGTCGAGTGGCCCGTACCCAGAACTTGTTGGCTGCCTCATGTGCCTCATGACCTGCACACGACCTGGTCTTGCATACCCTCTTAGCATTCTCGCATGCTATGTTGCTCCTGGGAGACACCGACCAGAGCACATGGCTGCAGCGAAAAGGGTGTTGCGCTACCTGTGCAGTACGTCGGGCATGGGGCTAGTGCTTGGAGGGCGGAGTCCAGTGGTCCTCACTGAGCAGGCGGACGCTTCTTGGGCTGACGACCAGGCTACGCAGCGGTCGTCACAGGGTTACATCTTCAGCCTTGGTTTCGGCTCTGTTTCGTGGCGGGCTACTCGCTCGTCTTCTGTTCTTGGCTCTAGTTGTGAGGCTCAGATCTACGCCGGGGCCATGGCTGCACAGGAGTTTTGCTGGCTCACCTACCTGCTGACCGACCTTGGAGAGCCGCCTCGTTCTCCTGCAGTCCTGTACGTAGACAACAAGGCCATGCTGGCCTTGTGTCGAGAGCAGCGACTGGAGCACAGAACAAAGCACATTGCTCTTCGCTACTTTCTTGCTTGTGAGCTACAGCAGCGTGGACAGTTGCGGCTTGCGTACGTGGCCTCTGAGGCCAACACTGCTGATGTCTTTATCAAGGCACTTGCGCATTGTGATCATCAGCGCTTCTGCACTCAGATGGGTCTTGTGCCCGTCTTGCCTCACATGCTCTCCTCTTGACCTTGATTGTACTCTCACATATATATATACCTGCTCTTGCTTGTCTAGCTTTATATATATGTGTGTACTCTTGCATGTGAACTGGCCGTGTGGCCTTGACCCTATGCTCGGACTGTGTGGTGACTTTGTGATCCACCCTGAGCATGCTTTGCTTTGCTTTGCTTCACTGGTCTTGTGACCCCTTGTTCTCCCCCACTTTGCCTATCGGGGTGTGTCACAATGCTATATAGCTTATACATTTGTGTAGGCTATAGTGGGGTATCCCATAGGGGGTACAACACAATTAGGGTTAGTACTTGTACTCACTCATTTCATAGTTGATTCATTCTCGTTTGACTTTCCTCAGCCAGCAAGTTCCTCATGAGCTCCCACGTGCTTGTGGAGCACAAGGTCTGTTCAGGGTGCTTGGTGCTTGCTTTTCAAGGAGGTGCATGTGCTCGCAGAGTTTTGCTGCAATTGCATTATGCTGGGGGGATGGCTGCAACTCTGCTGCTGTGGGGTTAGGGGAAACTTTGGTGGAGGCAACCCGGATGACAAGCTTGGGTCCTCCCACCTGACACGTGAGTTGGCACTGGTGAGTAGCATTGAAATCGAGTAGGAGCACATATGGTCTGCAGTCACTGTATTCAAAAAGATATTCTTGCTCGTTCCTACCTCACAGCCACTGGAAGGAGCACTACATATGAATAAGGCAATGAAAAGTTTTCTACTTTATGCGAATGTGGTGGTAAAACGCGAGATCCACATACATCCGGCAGCAAACTGGCATCTCCATGCGGATTTGACAGATTGTGGCGAGGCATACACGCTCGTTCTGGCTCGATTGGTTGCGTATCATAAATGAGCCACAGGCCTAATTAGCTGCCCACTCATCTCGTCGGCCAGTCAGTTCGTTGTGCAATGGAACGACTAAGCTGGTCATAGGCCTATGCTCAAACCCACTATTCGTAGGAGCCTTGCAGTTGTGAGTCATTTCCAACAGCTCCAAGTGCTCATACGGCCGAGCTTGGACCCTCTAGTCATGATGTAGTTCAAATTGAATGGCGTGGGACAGCGTGGTTGGGCTAGCCTGTTTGGAACACGTTACGGACTGCCCTTTTTGCATGTACCGCTTGTCGATCTCAGCCTCGCAATTACTAGCCCGGCCTGTTGGGTCA